CCTGATGTTATTTGAAATTGTTTTTTATGTTAAAATGCAGATCCAGATTTGACATTGTTCAGATGCAGCTAATTCAGAAACTATTTTGTTACATTGACTGCTAACTTTGACTTATGCGCATATCTTTATAATACTTTGATTTGGAGATGTCATTGTGATTTAAATATAAGCAATATATACTTTTAATCAGTGAGAACTTCAAGAACATTAACTCTGAACAAGTTTAAGCCAAATGAAACCTGAAATGAGCCTGACATTGAGTAATATTGTAGATATTTAATATTCAATCCATTGAAAACATATTTGTCGGATGAATTTATAATATAAGTTCTCCTATACCAAAAGCAGCATTAAGTTTATTTAATTTTATCGAAAACTGACCATATTTAAAGAATATCGATATAAATCGATTTCAGAAGCAATAAAGGACACAATTATAGACATATAAATAGCCTTTCAATTAATATTATTATATTAATATGAATATGTACATTTATATTTCATTTTATATTATATTATAATGATAAAATGTTAACTATAAAACTCTATCGATTACAAAGTTGTGGGATAAGTATACCCATCAGTAGGTAAGATCAGAAAATTATTTTCATTTGTCTAAAAGAGTCTTTGAGCTTCGACACCTCGAAGAAGACATTTGTTTCCTGTTTTTATGTCTAATCTAAGAGATTTCAGATAGTATAATGTAATTACTTTAATTATATATATATATGTGGGGTAGCTCTGTAATTAATTTATTGATCTGTAGCAAATGCAATAATATTTGTTTGTGAAATGTGCCACCCTTACGAACATTCGATACGAATACTTAAGCTACACACAAAGTGGGCAAACACACAGAGTGCTGAATGGACTACTCTCTCTCTCTCTGGGAAAAGACAACAGACAAAATGAAAACATAGTGAAGAAAATAGCAATATTTGGCCATTGGCACAGGATATATTTGGCTTGGAAATCATTTAGAGCCTTGAGGTGTATCCACCAACAACAAAGAGAATGCTTTGCGGTTAGTTTCGTGATAGCGTCGAGGCCATAACAATCAATCTTGTTTTATTAAAAGAGCGCACAAGACGACTACTTGAACATCGGAGTGGAACTGAAACACTGACGCCGAACAGGACTCAGGTGGTGGCAGAAAATCATTAATGGATATTTACTAAATGCTAGTCGGCTAGCCCATAAAGGTAATCCTTTTTTTATTTACGAACTCAATTCCCGAACACTTCACACGCGGAAGGGCTGCTCATTAAGTGGCAACCCACCAAAAAAAAAACAACAAAAAAAACGAAGAAACCTTGAGAGCTCAGAAAGAAATAACGAGCTAAAGAAAATGTTACAAGTTTTGCTCTTAATTCACTTAAGACTTTAGTTTTTGGACAAGGACTCCGGCTCGATGTGGTGTGAGGTGGTATGGTTGGGTGTGGTATCGTGTGGGTGGCTATTGAGCCGTGCTGAGCCGCCTTACAACATCATTTGTGTTCGTCCTTTAAGTATCTTGTATTAGGCAAGTTCTCGGCATCAGCCACTCAGCCTTGGCGATGCCATTGAAACTGTAACTCTGAATGCGAAATGGGAATGTGGCAAATGAACAAAAGTGGATAAACATATTTACACACACACACACAGACACACATCCGCCCATCCACCCACACACACACATTATGTGCAGGAAAGGAAGGAGCAAAAAAAAAAAATATACGAGTTGTAGCCAAGTAGTTTTCCATTCAGGGCCCAGCATTGAAAACGCATAGGCAAATAGAAATATTAATAAAAGTGGAATTGCGATTTGCCCTTCGCCCGAAACAAGTTTTTCAATTTGATTGCAACGCCAGACAAAAGTAAAAAAAGGAAACCCGGAAAGCAGAAGGACGAAGGACGACAAGTCGAAGAAAAGTCTGTAAGACTTTCCATTTACCAGCTTTATGATTTCTACTTAAATTCATACAATGCAAATTGCTTTAAGTAAGCCATTCGAGTATCAGCTGGCGACTTTACCCAAATCTATCAGTGACACTAATTGCTGGCTTGCTAACTCCTCTCTTTTTCTCGGTCTACTTGAGGCACGCAAGTAAACGATTATTATGACTATGACAAACGCAGTCGTACTTTGTTTATTATGGTTTATGGAATTTTCTTTTTGGGTAGTCATCTGTTTTTTGGGCGCTTTTTTATTGATTTTGCATTTAGCCCCCTGTTGATTGGATTAGTAGGGGTTTAATTTGATTGAAATTTGTTCGTATACCGCATTTAAATTACGTTCCAAACCCCAGCCCCAATTTTCAACTGTCACAACTCATACAAAACTGAACCGATTTAAATTATATTTAGATTAATACTGCTTTTCAATTTATAACCACATGACATATGACTAGATTACAACTTTTTGCGGTATTTACTGAGCACAGAAATAGCTTGGATCCATAATTTTTCATTCTTAATTGAGACATTTCAGTCTCAATTTAAGTTTCAATGAATGAGAATGAAAATAAGGATAAATTCAAAGTTTGGCATTCTAAAATGAATCGAAATTGAAAACAAGTTAGAAAGCTCTCTGGGTATATTTTATATATTAATTGAAAGTCTTTTGTTGCTATCGGAAATCGAATTGTATCGATATTCATCAAACGGGACATTTAGTGTTACAATTAAAAGGGTATGATATGGAATCGTTTTACTCATCTTTGGAAGATAAACTAGTCGAAGGTTAAGTAAAGTTAACCCTTAAAGTGTAATCAAATTTAGAGTTATCGATAGGTTTTTATCACACTTCAATCTGAATCAGCTGCACTTCACTTAATAATAATTTTCGTTATATATTTTTTGCTATAGCTTAATTATCTCAGCTAGAATCGGAAGATAAAATAGCCCAAGGATTTTATATGAAAGCTTAAAAGTATTCCAAAACATGGAGTTATCGATGGGCTTTTATCGCACTTCAATCTGAATGTTGTTGCACTTCACTTAATTATGCGCTAAATAGTATTTAAAACTGCTGGTGCATTGTTGCAGCGAAAGCGCAATTAAAGCACTTCCTCACTTGCATAAATTACGCACTAATTGGCGTTGATGCCGCACCCTTGAAGCTGCCCCGCGCTCACTCATTGCTGCAACTTAGTTGCAATTAAAAGCACGACAACTGAACAATAAATGTGTGAAACAAAAGATTTCATGGAAAAATTTGCATAAATCTATTGCATACTCTGCGGAGAGGGGTCCAAATTGTTTATTGCATTTGTATGTATTGCATATGTAGAAATATTTATTGTATTTAATAAATATGAGCGACAAAGGCGCGTGTGGCAAAAATCAATCAGGCAACCAAATCAAACATATTTTCACCACTCGAAATCCAATTGAATTTTCAATTGATGGTAAACAGCAATGCAAACGGAAATGTCAACCTCGAAATGAATGATTATAATTTGGAAATGCGTTTTGCAAAAATCAACACACGCACACACAGACACACACAGACACACACTGGCACATTGAGGAGTGGAAATGGAAATGGAAATCACTTATGCGCCTGCTGTGCCGAGCGCTATCCTAATGTCCTGTCAGTTGCTCGACTGAACTCAGGCACAGCACAGCACAGCTCAGTTCAGTTCATTTCAGCTGTCGGCTCTCGGATCTCGGCACGGCTCGCGTTTGACGTTTAATTAGGCGCAAATTTTAATTAAACGCCATGGCGCCAAACAACTTTTTGGCTAGAATTCCAAACCGAAAACTCATTAAATAACTATTACTGATGCGCCGATGTCAGCCAGCAACGGTTACGTTATTTATTCCCCTCCATCCATGCCCACGTCCACGCCCACGCCCACGTCCACGCCCCTAAGCATGCATGTCGACAGTGTAACATAAATAACAGCAAGGTGGGTCCTTCTTACCAGATGATAAATGATTCAATGACGAAACTACATCGGGCACCTATGTACGTAGTTAGTTACCTTCGGAAATGGATTTAATTTCTGATGCACAGCATGTGAAAACAATACATTTTGGCCCGTATACGGACAGAACCATCTGCTTTGGTTCTCATTGGAGTGGATGGAGCAAGTGTAGTGGTAAAAGCAACAATTTAACGAAATATGCGTTTGAGCGGAAATTATGCTGCAATAGTAGCTGTAGCTACAGCAAATGCTGTAGCTGCAATAGATCCTGTATCCCAACACAGGTTCAATTAGCTGCCAGTTTAAGTATTCAGTATTTTTGTAAGCTGAGCGAGTAAACCTTAAGCAATGTGTACAATTTCTCAATATGTTGAGACTAGAATACTGGGCAGAGCTCTCGGTAGAGCTCTCTCAACTGGTTCGCTTTTACCAGTCTTGCCATATAAATCTTTTTTACCACACTTCTTTTTGAAAAGAAAGCACAGCTTGGTTTATATTCGATTTTTCTCTGCAACAAATATTAAAAAACTTAAAATCGACGAAGATTTGTAGTTACTCAAAAGAATTTATTTTCAATCCAAAAATTATTTCTTAAAAATACCCATAAAAACAGATGAAATTAGTTGCTCAAGTATTTTCCACATCCATTTTCCAATCTCTGATATCGACTTTGTTAAACAGACGGATACGCAATCTGTACGCCAAACTTGATTGTTGGAAGATGTCATTATTTGTCTGTTTAATGCGCTGCACTTTAACTTTATAATAATCAATTTTTATTATATATTGGGTCATATTTTAAACAACTTTTCAACACACACGCTCGTCAATCGCAAAAGCACATAATGCTTATCTGTTCGCTGTGAAAACCAAAAGTTTTTGCCATTGTCAATGATTTTGTGGTCGAGTTGGTTTTACAAAATATTTAGTGGAGCATTTTCCATGCGATAACAAATAGGAAAAACTTTGTCGTGCTTTTAGTTCACTTGTCAGCCTAACATAAGAATACAATTCTTTTATTTTTTCGCTTTCGTTTTGGTTTTGGTTTTGAGTTTTGTTTTTGTTACTTCCTCAATGAGTGTCGCTCACCTGTTTGAAATTCTAAGGATACATTTAAATTGAGTTGCGTGTGTGCTCGGCCTGTATCCTGTGCCAGTGTTCGCGCTGAAGAGGCCTATTCTCATTGGCTGTGACAGGCTGGCAGGCTGGCAGGCAGGCAGGAGCGGACTGTCCGCTTCACTGCCAGTGGCTTGGCTTCGGTTTGATTGTGTTTGTGTTTGTGTTTCTGGTTGTCTGCCCGCTGCTGCTGCTGCTGCTGTCCAGCCGTCGTCCTGGCACGCTTCCTGCAGCAGTCAGCTGCTGGCATGCAAAAGTTTTGCTGCTGCTACTGCTGCTGCTATTGCGGATATTTGTGTTGTTTAGTTTAGTTTCTGTGCGCTTTCACCAGTTTTGCTTGACTGTGTGTGTGTGTGTGTCTGTGTCTGAGTGTGTGTGTGTGTTTGTTTGTCACTTTATGCGCTTCCTGCTCGATGCTGTCGCACCGCCCGCCGCCACGTTGTGCCGAGAGTGAAAGTTTTCTTCGTTTAACGTTTGCCAGCGACGCGTCTGCGAGAGTCCAAGCGCGTGGTGAGTTTTCGCTCGTCACGCTCTCTCTCTCTCTCTCTCTCTCTATTTGCTCTCAGAAGAGCGGCACAACACACAACACACACACTTGAGTAATTTGAATTTTCTTTTTCTTCTTTTTCTTTTGTCAACTTTTAGCAAAAACGTTAAACGATACTTTTCGATAAATCGGGTTGTTTTTCTTTTTTTGTCACACTTTTCTTTTTTTTTGGATATTACACATATATATTTAGCCCCTAGCACATTTGAGTTGTTGTCTGTTGCAAATATTCACCACAGCAAGCAACAACAACTCTGTTATTGCGGGGGAGGGGAAGATGGTGGAGGTGGAGGAGGAGGTGCGGCAGCTGAAACTGCTTTTAGTTGGTTCGCACGCCTATTAAATCGCCAACTTGCGTGCTGCGATTCGGTATTGGTATCGGGTTTAAATATTTTCGGACTCCGAATCCGAATTGCTGCTGTACGTGGCGAATTTCGACGTTAGCCGTAGTATTTTAACCTTCTGCCCTACTCTACAATGCGTCATCGAATATTGTTGTTGTTGTTGTTGTTGTTAAAGTTGCTGTTGTTGTTGTTGTTGTTCTCGAGCATTTTACGTGAATTAATTTACTTAATATTTGATTTGGCACCAACACTAAAACACCAGCTCAGCTCAGCTCAGCTAAAACACACACACAACGCACGCACGCACGCACGCATGTCTCTGTGTGTGTGTGTGTGTGTCGCGTGTGTGTGTGTGTGTGCGTGGAATGCAATATTAAAACACAGCTGCCTCGCACATTTGCTGCATATGTCGTCGAGAGCTAAAAACATTCATTACCCATACGCCATGTTGTACGGCTGGGTTTTCTTTCTTCTTGGTTTTAGTGCACGGCTTTTAATTGTTGTTTTTGCTGCTGTTGTTGTTGAATAAGGATAAGTTATATACACTTTCAAGGTTAGATCCAATAACAAAAAAATGTTTCATTTGCTGTATTTGCGAGCACATTACTTTAATTTTTATTTTTTTTCTTTGGGTCTTATTGAATTTTGCTAGGTTTTTCCATTGCTGCTGCTGCTGCTGCTGCTGCTGCTACTGCTGGTGCTGCTGCTGATGGTGCTCTGCACATGGCTTCGGGCTTCAGGCTGCTCCGCAAATGTATCTACATATTTTGCAGTGCATGCCAAACTGTTGTTTCAACATTAAAGCGCACAAGTTGCGCTCTCCAATTACGCAAAGTTGTCAGTACTTTCTTTTCCCTTTATTGCTTGCACTTTACAAATTTCCAATTATAATTTCAATCTTTTATTTTTTCTTTTTTTTTTTGCGTTTTCCTCGCTGCGCGTTTTGGCTATGTGTTTGTGTGTGAGAGTTGTGTGTGTGCGATTGCGATTGCGGAGCGCCGCGTCTGGACCGTGTGGCTCCACTACTCTGACTACTTTGGGCTTGGGACTTTGTCGTCGTCGCATCCGCGCTTGAGCGCGAGAGCTTTTCCCCAAAATGTAGGCTTTTGTCAGTGTAACGAATCGGGCACGAATAGCCACGAATCCTCCCCCTCGATCCCCCTCGGCCGCACTGACGACTGGCGGCTACTGGCTGGCGAGTATAAATTAAAGCTCTGTCTCGAATCGGTTCACGGGCTGAGTCGCTGTCTCAGTCGCAGTCTCTGGTTTTGTTGGGTTTGCACTCAAAAGTTTGCGCTGTTTGGATTTTGTTATTTTAATGTGGTTGGCTGGCATTCGTCTCGCTGTCTCGTTATACTCAGTGTGCTTTTGGAGGATTCCTTGCGTGTAATTGTTTTCGTTGCGTTCGTTACATTCGTTACTTTTTTTTTATTATGGGCGCCAGAAACGAAAACAGAAGCAGAAGCAGAGTCAGACATAAAATGACAAATGTAGCCATTTATTATACACTGCATTTGGACAAATCATTGCTGGATTCGAGAATGTTCCAGAAAAAACTTCATTTATTTGATGCAGTAGAAGTATATTTCAAATACTTTGCTTTTTATTTTATAAATATTATGTCAGAAAATATTATAAATACTATATTTAATTTGAATTTGAATTTTCTATTTATTATTATGTGCTTAAATAATATTTATAAATTTTTAAATTTAAAAGAAATGTAAATTAAATATATTTCTATAATTAATATGGAATTACCACAATTGTCTATAAAAAACATAACTGAAACAGTAAATTCAAAAGGAAGTTGAGGGAAGTTAATTTAAATAGAATTTTCTCATCGTTATAAACTAGGAAACGGAAGCTATCCACATTTGTGAGCGAGCTTTAAGTAATTTAAATGCACAACTTGAGCAATGCTCTTAACAGCACTTCGGTCTTTGGCAGAGCAGTGTAAACACATATTCTGCACAAAGTATTTAATATTTAATTGGTTTTCAAAGTGATCTACTTCTGTTTTTTTTTTAGTGTCCTATAAAAAGCATGCAGCAAACGGCACGCAAGTTAACCAAGTTAACCATCCCAGTTACCACACCCACATCACACAGCACACAACACACAAGTCTCACTCAATAGTCCGAAACACAACGAAGAGAAACAGTCGCTGTAAGTCGGCCAGGTAACGACGAACCAGGCAGGCAGCGACTGTGGTGAAAGCTCACTCGCTCTCTCTCTCTCTGTTAATTAACTATCTGGAAGTAAGACTCTCTCCCACATGCAAAAGTTCAACACATGGCCATGCGAAACGTCAAAAAGGCGCTTGACAGCCAGGCGAATATCGAAGGCAAAGAGAAGCGAATGCGACGAATGCGAAGGCAAACTGAAGTTCGCCAGGTAACTGAAGAATATGCCTGCTGCCCGAGCCGAGCCCCCCTCCCCATGCTATGGATGCTGCGTCATGGGCATGTGCGCGAGAAGAGCAGAGCACAGCAGAGAGTGTAAGAGTGAGAGTGAGAGAGAGAGGGCGCTAGCGAGTTGTAGGTGTGAGTGTGAACGAACGACACGTTGTTGCATTTCCCACACACAAAAACGCTCAAAAGCGGGCAGCAAAAATAACGGGCTTAGGCTCTGGACGAAGGTTGCTCCAAGGTGTTGATGGGCAGAAACGAGTACACGTGCTCCAACTGAGTGCTGAGTGGGGATGGGGATGGGGAGTGGGTGCTTGTTGGCTGGTTGTCTTTCAATTGAAGGCTGAATATTAAGCTGACTGCTGCAGTAGCAGCAGCAGACGCAGGAGCAGCAGCAGCAACGAAAAAGTTTTCTAATTGAATCCTATGCTGATGATGCCTGTTTATGTCTTCTGACCTGACCCATCTTCGTCTTAACAGTTTGTGTGTTGTTCACTGGAATTATGTCACGTTTGCGCTGGCTGCGTCATTGTGTCTGCCTAGTTTATTGATTATTCTCGCTTATGACGAAATGCGTGTACGCCAAAATAGTTTTGCACACAACGATGAACGATGACGTCACTGTTAGTCCCACAGAGCTTTTCAAAACGCCAAACCATTTTGCCCTCACTTTGATGTCAACTTGTCGCGCCCCACACTCCTGGCCCCGCCTCCCCTCCCACTCCCCCTCCCTCTCCAGTTTTATACCACATAGAAACGTCAGTTCAGCCCAGCTCAACTCATTTCCATTTTCATTTAAGGTATGCGACTTTTCACTAGTTTTGCAAAAAGTTTTTGCTGAGAGCTTTTCAGGCATTCACAATATAAGCCATATAGAGGGATAGGAAAGGGGGATGGGGGGAGGGGAACTACTCTCAATTTGTTTGGCTGCTTTTATTATTGCGGCAAAAGATTTATGTTTGTCATTCAAGTGATCTAATTAAAGTTTGTGTGGACCAAATTATATCTGGAAAAAAGGGGGCTGGGGGAACAAAGTCTGAATTTGTTTTTTCTTTTTGTATTTATTGCCAACAGCTTGGAGCGAAGCTTCGTTGTGTAGGTGTTGTTGACTTGTTTTCGTCTAACCCCAGAAACGGGCCAAAAAAGCCAAAAAAGTAATTTATTTTACTGTCTTGACGTTCGTTTGGGTTGTCGTTTGGCAAATGTAATGGGATGTGCTGACCCGTTAAACTCAAATACTCCATCTCTATCTCTCTCTATATGTCTATATCTATCTCTCTCGCTCTCTCTCTCTATCTGTGTGTCGCAGCGTGTTGAAAGGGTTTGCAACGGGGGACTGGGGAGCAGCATTGGGAGCAGCAGGTAAGGCAACCCTCTTCAACATAATCCAAGAAATTTCTAAACCAATTTGTTTATTATCTCTAAATTATCTACGGATAGGCTACTTGCGAGACTTGCGGGCTATTTATTAATTTGTTATGGAAGTTAAGCACTCCCTTAATTTAAGGCTGGGCAAACTGAAATCTTTGTGCATTAAGTGAAATTCTTTGGCTAACCACAGCTAAAATCTGGCTAGATTCTGGCTAAAAACACACAGAAAAAGTGAATTTGCTCGCTTTGCTGTATTTAATCTCTTCAAGCAGTTTTCGACTCGGGCAGGCAACTTGCTCATTTTTGAAATTTGTATTTGAATAATAGCCAAAATTTAGGTAGAACCAGCCAGCATTTGTTTTAAACAAAAACCAAATTGTTGCATTTCAAATGTACACCAAAGAAAAGGCATGTTTATTTTTGGTTTTATATTTACACAGATTCTTATTTGTTTTTTTGTTTTTTGTTTTTAAGTGTATTTTACTTAGTTTTGTATTGCATAGGTCTCATATTTAATATGCCTCCATTTAGGTATGGATATATGTATAATTCATTAAATTGTACTGCTCTAAATATACACACAAATACAATATCTTAACTAATTGTAAAGTGTAGAGAGCTTACCAAAAAACTGTTAAACATACGTATATATTTATATATATAAACATATTTATATACGTACATTTTAATTGCGCCCCTACTAAATTTATTCAGTTACAATTTATATTGTTATATATATATATATAGATATAAAATACACGTACATCAATAAAACATCTATACAAATACATATCATGGTTGGTTTTGTTGGTTTTTTTGTTTGTTTGTTTGTTTGTTTCAAAATAAAGTAGATACTCGTAGAGCCCACGAGAAATTGTCGTTTGGTTCCTCCAAAGAAATAACTAATATCGATTCTAACCTCAAAATTATTGTACTACATTTTGTTGTATACATATATCAATCGCTTAAGCAAGTATATCATATCAGTAAATAGTACATATATCATAAATATCAGCAATAATTCCAGTTTTCGAGTCTACATAGGTTTCTGTATCTATGCTTGTATGTGTGTATGTGTGTATGTGTGTGTGTGTGTGTGTGTGTGTGTGTGTGTATGTGTGTGTGTCTAGGTGTGTGCGTAATAATATACAGCATCCAAAAAACACTATGAAAACGGAGATTACAAAAGTTGCGGTTGTTCTAAAAGCTAATTGACAACGGGTTCAATCGATAAATATCGATAATAATTGCCATCATCCAGTTGCACTCGCTGACTCCCTGTTTCTTTATACATAAACTGTCTATTGTTGTAATAAATAAATTAATACATTATTATCAACTTAAAAAGAACTTGTCATGTGCGAGTCGGGTCTATATACTATATAAATATGTATACATATATATATATCTATGTATATATATACAAAATTGGCCATGGTCGCTCTTCGGTTTTTGCTTATGCCTCCTGCAGCTCCTCACTCCTCGCCCTCGTATCCCAAGCACCACAACTGAGATAGGGGCACGGCTGAGGACTAGCTAGCAACGCCTCCCGCCTCATCCTTGCGTGGTCGCAATATGAAATTGAGATTATAGTTGGTATTAACGGCATAATAGACATTCGCCGTTTTCGGCATGACCAGCTCCTTGTCGGGCAGCACCTGGGCCAGTGTATACCTATCCGGATCATCCTCCAAGCCGAGCTTCAACATTGCATTCCTAATCACCTGATGAGTGCGCTCATTGTTGCCCAGCATAATACTCTTGTACAGCACAATGCCATCCAGCTCAATGTTATCCGTTTCGTATGTCACCCGAATAATGTAGAAATCAGGTGCGGATTGGGTAACGGTGCCAGTTGGCTGCACCAGCTGGGCATTGATGTGGGTATGTGGCGAACCGATGCCATTGGTGACACCATTGCTCAACGCGGCATTCTTCAAGCCATTGCCCAGGGATTGGGAATGCGTCAGTTTGCCGTGCGCCGACTGTCGTCCACCGGAATTGCTCGAGTCCATTGACAAATTGGAGGTGCTGCTCGAGGCGGACATTAGCGAGGCATGATGGGCATCCCGATCCAATGAGTTGTGCCTGGAACTGGTGCTGCTGTTTAGCTCACAGTAGAACTGTGAGCCGGCTCCGCTGCTCGAATTGGAGTGTATGGAATCAGTCTTGCGATGTCCACCATGTCCACCGCTACCCATTATGGAGGCCGTCGACGAGGCCGTCGTATTCGTCAGCGATGTGTTTGTGCTTGCCACCGATTTACGTGGCGCCGGCGGCGGTGGCTCCAGCTGGCAACTGAGCGCAAATGCCTGCCGTTCATCCAGCACCGGCATGGAGACGAACCACCGATCGAAGAGCTCATCCTTGTTCAGGTTGTAAGTGTTTGCAGCGCCCTGGAGCAGCTTGATTTGGGCCAGCACCTCGAACTCCTTGCGCTTCTTGTCAAAGTTGATCAGTTTGTCTTCGGTGAGATAATCGGGATTGGCCGTATGTATCATGGTCAGATCGGTGAGAAATGTGCCCAGATATGGTATCGTGCCATGCGATGTCTGCGTGCCCAGATTCAGTATCAGCTTCTGCAAATGCCGATCGCCTTGATCGCTACCCGGATCCGGATTCTTGGCCGTACCCTCGCGCTTCAGCACCTCGCGCAATGTCCACGCATTATTATCCTCCGAACAGATGCGCGCAAGTTCCGTGAAGATTTCCATCTGAAAGCGACAGAGATGGGACAGATGAAGATAAGCTGCTCTTTTTAACAGTAACTGGAATAATTCGGAGAAACGAAGAAAGCAATCTGCGGCAAGCAAACTTTCTTTTCGACAGCCACAATCATATCTCTTGAGTGGACTCAGCTGACTAAGAGCTTAACCTAGCTAAGCTGGGAATCTGTTAATTTTCTGACAATGAGCAACATTTCTGGCAGACAATCCTATGTCATAGAAACCCTCCACAAAACTTAGGATTAATGGAAGAACTATAGACTCGGAATGGGGCATTCAACACCTGACTTGGTCGCAGTGCAGTCAGCTCTCCACAAATAAATTGCTAAGCAAACCAGTAAATTGGTTTCAAAGCTGAATTGGTGCAAGTTAAAACATATCCGTTTCACAACCAGCTAGATTGGATTACTATATCATACAATCCACAGGAACAATCCTTTAAAATAAGAGCTTTATATTCCTCTCGCATATTAGTCGGCATCCTTCTATCATATCATAAAACCATTTTGGTTAGCACTGGCAGAAAAAGACTCCTCTACCGACCCACTTGAGCCACGATAAGAATCTTTATCTTGGATAACCAAAGCCAGAGAATTGTGATATGTATCAGAAAAAGAAGAGATGCCATAAAAATCAATCAATTTCTTGAATTTAGAACTGAATTTAGATGCGATAAGCTCGACTCCGCTCGGCAAATGTATTTAATCTTCAGTGCACCCGCTGAACTTACACGATCTTTGGCCAGAAACTCCCAGACCTTGGATAGCCTATATATGGAATTTGAGTTCAATGCCGAGATGATGGCCTTCAGCGAGCTGAAGTTCTTGAGCATGCGCAGCTCCTGAGCGATCTCAATCCAGCGTGAAATGTACAAGGCGCGTTCCTGTGAAATGTAAATAAAATCAGAGTAAATATATTAAAATAATGACTAGATTTAAGAGCACTTACCTGGGGCTTGAGACGATCGATGAGTATGCTGGACACGACACGATAGAGAACCGCATTGAACTGCGTAATGGTGGCGACCACTGTTTCGGAGCCGCCGCTGTCCCGACGCGCCCACGTGTGGCCCAAACACTGATGGGGTATGAGGCGCTTGAAGAGATCGGTGTCCATGCGGGTGAGCTGCTCGGCAAAGTGGCGCACGGGCACATGGGGGAACCGGAAGGCCTCCAGAAACGAGGGCAGTTCGCGATAGATGGGCGCCAAATACAGGCGACTTAACGGTTCGCTCAGATCATATGTGGAGCCGCATGAGGTGTGCATCATGAACTGCGTTGGCTGAGCACCCTGCGTTGCTAGCCAGGGCAGGGCATTGTTGTCCACATGATTGGTCGCAATGCCGCCACCGTAGACCTGCTGGCGGAGCAGACGCTCCAAGCGATTCACCACCTTGATGTGCAAATCGGAGTGTTTGAGACGACGGCCGGCAAAGGTGAGTATCTGCTGTAGATTATCCTCATGCCAATCCTCGGGGAAACCATCCAGCCACACATGCAGCGCCGAGACTAGAGTTTTCTTATGCTGTTCATGGATGCCAGCGGGCGAGTCATAGCCGCTGCTCCCCTTCCCATCGCCAACGCCATTCTGCTGCACCAGCTCCAGCTCCTCCAAGTGCTTCTCATGCAGCGCATCGTAGCGTTGCGTCAGCAGACTGAGCACCTGTTTGGGCGTTGAGAACGTGCGATATGTGGACAAAAAGACATTGATGAACGTCGACTCCAGTTCACCATCATCGGTGGCCAGTGCCTCCACCAGTCGCGCCAATGTGGCAGCCTTCACAAATCGCACGCGCACCGTCTCCCATTCCAGATGTGAGATTTCATCATCCGAGTCCTGCTGCAAATGAAAACCATTGTGAAAAAGGCCATCAGGTTAATTGGATTTACTTTACTCACATTGCTGGCGGTGGGCGTGGGTCGATGATAGCGCACCTTCTTCAAATAGACGGTGAAAATAGCATTCTTCTCGTGCTCCTCGCCCCAGAGGCGCCACGTGGGCTGCAAGCAGAAACCAATCAAAATGTCTAATTAGAAAAGTGCTCCAAATAATATCTATGCTACAAATTGAAACTAACTTAGAAAATTAAAAAAGTATTAATCTTAAAAATAAAATAAATTAAACTAAAATCTCATTCTTATTGTTATTAATAATTACTGCTCTAATTATGTTTAATGACAGCAAATTAAATACTTCTGTTTATTGTTTATTGTTGACTGCAAAGCGATATTGAACTTATTTTTTTGTTTACATCAGTTTTTTTTAATCGTTTTTTATTTTTGTCAGATTTTAATTTAAGAAATTCTACATATACAAACTTATTTTCGATTTTAATGCCAGTGCCTACTTTATATTGAAGCTGATTCGATTCATTAGTGCAATTAATCATTTGGCTAAATTTAGCACAATTTCCGTCTATTTTTAATCGAGCGCAAAATTCTTAATAACGATGCTCGAATCTTAAATAATTTTAATATAAACATTATGTCAAGAAAAGCCATTCTGTATGGATAAGGGGAAAAGCATTTCAAAAGTGTTGTATTTTGTTTTGCCATGTTTATTGTGATGGGAAACTGGCCGGCATTTCCCTTTTTCAACCATTTCCCGTCCACTATTTGGCAATGCTAAGCCGAAAATCATTTGTTGCTGTCCATTTTCGATTGCCACAATTTCTATTTGGTATTTTAATTGCTTAATAAATATCTGTTTAGAAGGCAGCAAAACCCGAGATATCCAAACATTTAAATAAAAGTTTTTGCTTTGAGAAATATTGTAAATATTTTGTTGAAACCAAAAACGATTTTTTTTAATAACATAAATATTAAGGGAAACTAAATGATAAATATACAAAAATTTATATTTGAATTTGATTTTCCTAGAACAATTTTATGGAATAAACTTAAATACATAAATTGACTTGAGCTATTTTTAGAATCGTGCAGAAGTACTTCCCATCATTAAAAAAAATATACATTTCCGCTGAGCAATATACATTTAGTCTGATATGCCCAATTTGCAAATGGTGCAACGATCCATCAATTGCACAGCCTTTAAAATGATATATATGTGTGTATAAATGTGTCTGTTTGTATTTGAGTGCATAAATATTTATGAGCTGTACTCATCGGTGTGTTGTCTAACAAAAAATACTTGAGATATTTGCGCCCAATTAACAGCATAACAATTCTAATTGGGTAAAACATGCAACAAACAAACTAACAGAAATTCCATTGCTTATACGGCGTAGGCGTAGCTATGTAAAAATGATGCAAAGGCAACACGTGCAAACATGTGTGTAAGTAAACAGACACACACACATACATATATATATCTACTAAATGTGTGTGTGTGTGTGCGTGCTCACAAAAATTCATTCGTAAAAAGTCATACAACGCGAAATGAATGAAAATAAGCATGAAGAAAATTAAAGAAGCAACAAAAAGCAAAACACAAAAGCCAAATCACGCAATATTTAATAGTCTGTGCGTATGTGTGTGTATTTGTATGTGTGTGTGTGTGAGCGTGTGTCTCTTTGAGTGTAAGGCCGCAAACAATCTATAACAAAGCAAATGCCGCACGCTTTTTATACATCAACCTAACAAACGATTTGACAACAACAGAGTTGGGGTCAGACCCACAGCGACCCCGAATATGCAAACTTAACAACACTCATACTTTGACAGACTTATACTTGCACACACTGATACGACTCACACTAAGCAGACTTATACTTGCACACACTGATACGACTCATACTATAACAGACTTATACTTGCACACACTGATACGACTCATACTATGACAGACTTATACTTGCACACACTTATACGACTTGTACGTGTAGATCACTCTGGAAGTGGACAAACGGACATACGCAAGTTTATTTGTTGGGCCAATTAATTGCCCGCATGCGCTTTCATTACGCGTACAAGCTGCAACAACAACAACAACAAAAACAAATACGCTTGTTAGATATTTAGTTGACTATTAACATTAGTTGTTGTTGGGCGGGCCGAGACGAAGGTCTGACCCAATTTCGTAAAATATCGTGGATTGTTTCGAATATTTCGTAAAAATACAGAAACAACACAGCAGCCAAAAAAAAAAAAAAACATTTGGGCGTTAAGTGGTCGGCGCAATTTGTTTTATGATTTTCAATACACTCCCGCAGTGGGTATTTCAAGTGTGTCACGCATTGTCTAAATATTTTCTTATGGCTAAAGTCGTTCATTTGCAGCTGTCTGAAAATTATTCTATATTTAATTGTAGTTTTATTGTTAAAAAAATGCTGACAATTGTGTAAAAACATCTGATTAAATATTATTAATTTAGTTTCATAATAATGAATTAATAACTATTATATGTATATTTTTTTTTTAATATTTAAAAATGCTTTTAAGTTTATTTCTTAAATTAGTTATCCTAAAAATAGATGGGTATCTTCACATCGATCAGTCTTGCTTCTGGTGTATTTGTAATAGTGCTCAAATTTATGTGCGTGCTGTAAACATCTTAAAGTTTTCGTAAAAGCCTTGCAAAATGTTCGTAATTTCGAAAATGTGAAATACAGTAATAATGATTAGGGTGTAATTCCTATGGCAAGTTCAAGTGTTGTGTAATTCAATTTAACGATCTGAGCCAAGTCAAATTTATTTCAAAATTTAACATAAACAAACGAAAACAACAACAACAACAACAACGAAAAGAAAAGTAAAAAAGAACAACAGCTGCGAAAACATCGGTGCTGACTCTGCCTGCTTCCTGCTAAAAACCAGACGAAGGCACGCAAATAAAAGAAACCTAGAAAATTGCAATTGTTTCTGTCTAATTGATGCGTACTTAGTCTTTGATTGTACGCCGTTTTTCGGGTGGCTGATCTACACATAGACACACAAACTGCTTCCCGAATAAATAAATAAAATTGTATGTATTTGTGTATGAATGTGAAGGCAACATTTAATCAATTCACGGCAAAAGATCAGCAAAGTCGCTTGACTTTTTCATTTTTTCAACGGCTGCCAAAATAAGAAATTTGCGGCTCTGTGTGTGTGTGTGCGCGTGTATGTGTATATATGTAAGCATGTATTTATTTAATTTATTTGTTATTTATTTGGCGTTTTGTATGTTGTGTTTTTGTTGTTTAAATGCTGCTACGCCTCGAACACATATTCTCACAGAATGTACATATGGCTGCTTCACTTGTTTTTTGCTTAATTAATGACGCACTAGCTTATTTAAGTTTCATTTGCGTCAAAATAAAAAAGTAGCAAATAATAACAACTGACGAACAATAAAATTAAATTAATAACGGCTGCAACTGATGCAGTCACTTAACAACACTATGCTATCGATTCACAAAGCGCTGCATCGATAAATGTGCGCGATATCGATAAGCAGCGCCAGGCGAATGCAAATGGCAAAGATAAGGCGCAATAAGCAAAACGTCTGCGAAACGTAAACAGCCCAATCAATGGCAATTAAAATTGAATACGACGAGCATATATATATTTATATATATATATACTATATATGTAAACTATATGCAGTTCTTTTCTTTTCCCAAAAATTACCTTGGTGTAGGTGTAGTTCTTGGCATGCAAATCTTTCGTCTTTTTCGACAAATTGCGCAGCGTGGCGCCGGTGCAGGCGCACAAATATTTGAGGCTGGCGACCACTTTGCGTTCGGCATTCGCAACGGCAGAGGATGCATCCAAATCATCATAGGAATGATATGAGCTATTGCGACGCTGTTTCCCATTCGCCGTCGCTGAGGATGTGGAGCGTGAACGTCGCTGCTTCTGCTGCTGCTGTCGACAAATGGTCGATGTGGGCGTTGAGGTGGGCGTGTGCGTTGGAGTAGCCGTAAACGATTTCTTTTGGCGCGGACACGTGTGATGATGATATGGCGATGATTTTGCCTTGGCCCAATGTGTTGCCTGCTGCTGTTGCTGATGTTGCTGCTGCTGATGTTGCTGCTGCTGATGATAGCCGCAAGGCGTTGTTGCTGAATTGTTGTTGACATATCGCCAGGCACTGCTAAAATCTATATTGTCCACCGGCGGCATCAGCGCACGATTATAGCCAGCTAAATCTTGCAACTGATAGGCGCAAGTGTGGCTCTTGATAAGCGTTGGCTGCTGATGGTGTTGCTGATGATGTTGTTGTTTGTGTTGGCAGTTGCAGTTCGCTTGGCTTGTGAAATTCTGGAAATTATGTTTATCGAATTGAGTTGAGTTGAGAAGGGGCAAACAGAGGCAGAGAAAGATCAAGAAATTGGCGTTTTGTACTTGAGATCATGGCATGGTTCATTGATTGGCATTGGCATTGGGGCATCAGCAGTCATCCAAATGCTGTGAAACGAGTTCATTCACCGTACGCAATCATTCAACGGCACCAACAACAACAAACAGACACTCACAGTTGAGAGTAGTCAAATTGAGTTCGAGTTGGACAATGCCTAGGGCTTGTACGCATGTGCCCGCCCCTGACCTTGGCTACAATTTGACTTAGAGGCAAACACACACACAGTGTACAGTACTACATACACATGTAGACACAAAACATATATTGTTCAGCTGTCTTTCGACAACGGCAAATAGACAAATAAAGTCATGACAAGAAAAACCAACAACAATCACAATCACAACTATCAACTTTTGACAACATTTCCCAAGTGGTGTCTCGAGACACACTCGTTCACTCGTCACATTTCTATGTTTGGTTTAAATGCTTTCGCTTCCCCCAATTGCAACTAGAGGCAACAGCAGCAGCGACAGCGGCAGCAGCACATATTTTATGTGGTTAACCGCTTCGCATCGCCTTTGTTTAAAAATTTTACAAATTACACTGATGCTGTGCTCGGCTGTGCTGTGCTGCCGATAAAATAACAAACATAAGGAATTAGCCCCTCTCCTTCTCCTCCCACCAAAACTTGCAACGCAACTTTTCCAGGAAATTGTTATTATTGTTGCGAATTTTTACTGTGTTGTTTCACGTCCATTGACAGCTGTGCGTGATGAATACCCTAACCGAAGATAGTCCTAGAAAATTGTTTACTAAGTTTGCAACGAGCTTACATTGACTAGGAATACATTGGATACTTGTAGATTATCAAAGTTTTATAATTAAAAATAAATATACTTATTCTAAGATATACAAATTTCAGCTTCAAATCGTAAACTGAATTGAAAACTTTGCCACTTAATATTAGGCTAATCCAGTCTTAAAATATTTAAAGAAGAATATTTAATGCAAAATTAATTTAATCAATTAGTTTGACCTCGATTCTAATGATCAAATTTATAAGTTTTGTTATTGATCTGAAAATGAACTATATAAAGTATTTTAGCTTCGACTGGATTCGGTTATGCAACTCTTTGCATTTTCCATCAATTTTTACTATTTTTGCACGGAAATCCTGAAACTTGGCATCGTTAATGGAAAATGTGTTGCGTTTTTCCATTTGCACACTAGTTGAATGGCATTTTGGCTTGAAAAATAACGAGTTCTATTCGTATTTTTATTATGGTACATGTGTAATTTACGAATTTGTGACTGCCTGTTATGGAGCTGCCCATTTCACGAATTGAGGCCACTAATTTCCAGTGTGCGCTCCACAATTTAGACGCTGCAATTAGACTGCTCTAAATGACATAACTTGTTTTCTTAATGGCTCCGCTCTTTCCCGTGAAAATGTCGCATTAAGCCGGCCACTTATCTAAGCAAACAGATCAGCAGGTCAGACTGGCCCGTGCGTGATGTCGATGTCGATGTGGATGTGGTTGACAACGATGTGAATACCGTGTCCAAAGGTCCACGGAATGGCTTTATCGGTGACAATGTGAAACGTGCCTCATTTTACAGCTGAGCACAAATATTGCACATTTGACGCCATTTAATTTGTATATTTAGCAAATACATCAGAGCAGTAAATGTGCTAGGAATGCGAATCGCCTCACAGCATCCCAGAAATAAACGCATTTCGCATCGACCCACAATTCCCCATCATAAACCAGATGAAATCATGCATAGTAAATTATATATGAATATTGCAAGTTAATCAGACACGTTCTGGCACATGACTAAGACTGCACCAAAGGCATATATATATATATATAAATCAAATTGGAGCAATTTGAATAGCTGCCAAACCAAATTAATTGCCTTATAAATCTCAGCCTTTATTCCATTTTAATGTTTGTCGACATTTATATTGCAAATTAATATTTATAATAATACACATTGACTTCAGATGAGGAGAAATTTTGATAAGCTGGAATAGGCCTTCAAAATAAACTGAGAGAAAGACAGATCAAAACTCTCAAGTACAGAAAAATGATAAGAATTTTATCTATCTATGTTTTTGTTTATTTTTTATATATATTCCGATATATTTCGAATCCCGTCGGGATTCGTTTTCCGGAAGAGATAAGAGATTGTTCTATCACTCGACAAACAATCAAATACTTTGAGAAGTTTAAAAATTATTTATTGTTCTCATTTTTGTTGTGAATTTAAGCAATCGTTCTTGGATTGCACAAGCTTATTTGCAATATATGAGCAATATGCCAAGTGTGATTAATGTACAAATATAAATTAATAACCCAGACCTAGATCCAATTTCCAGGGTGAATCGAAATCATGCAAACAAATATATATATATATGTGAATGTATATACAGATGAATGTAAATACTCGCATATCATTTGCCTTAGTTCCTAATCAATATGCACATATATTGCACTCGCTTGAAAAGACTCACTCAAGTTAATTATAACTCGGAGTCGTAGTCGTGTAAACATATATACATATATTGGAATAATGTAAATCGAGTAGGCGTCAAATCTGACCCCAGCAATGCGACAGCGTCATTTGTATTCAGAACCGAAAATTGACGAATACCGAAAGGTATTCACTATTCACGAACACTCAAAATGAATCATCAAAAAAATGCTGAAAAATAGAAATTGCTCGTAATCAGACTAATTATACGTTGTTTCTTTTTTTTTTGGAATAATATTCCATGTGCGGAGTATTATATAATTTTCCAAGCCAATTGTCAAATGTTCCACAAGATAAATGTACTTTTTTTTGGGGTATGAGTTTGTTTAAAGCAATTATAAAGACATAAAGTTAAATTATGTCCAAAATTGCTTGAGAATTTGATGACGAGGCATTTCACATCGAGCTTTCCGTCTATAAATAGACGGGTGGGATTTGACCTTTGTGCGGCCTGATGATGGCTAATGGCTAATGGTAAAATTCTATTGAATGACCTGTCATGTGTGGGTGGACAGCTTAGCCGATGTGGCTTAATTGACTTGGCTGCGACGCAAATGCAAAAGATGTTGCAAAAATAGCACAGACAGCCAGAGAGAGAGAGAGGATGAGAGAAAGAAAGAGAGAGAGAGAGAGAAATGAACAAAAGCAGCAGCGCCAGCCACCCCCTTCGACTGACCAGTCGCAACATCAAAGTAAACAATCGATGGGAGGCTTGATTGCCTGCCGTGTCTCTATTTATAATGGACGCAACCCCCAAATGAACTGCTGCCACCAGGCAGTGCCACAAGTCGGATCTTGCATTGATAAACAGCAGCAAAAGCCGAAACAAAGCTAAATTGAAAACTACTGTACTATGGCGAAAAGCTAAAAAAATACGAAAAACGAAACTGAACACGAAATAATTGGCCAACTCAGACATGCCGAAGATTAGATACCCTTGCAGACAAGACTCAACCCGTTAACAACTAAATTTCACTAGCAATTTTCAGAAATCTATTGATTGTTAATTTAAAAGCTTTACGTTATTGTCGTCCGATGATTTTTCAATGATAGTTCTTCCAGATATTGGGATTATATTTAGTTATAAGACTTATTAAACGAAAAAGTTTTTATGCTCATAGCTCATCTTTCGACCCATCGTTCTTCTGGGAGCTATATGATATAGAAGTCCAATCTCAGTGATTTTTTGTTCAAATGTGAGTATTATAAAAATGCTCAGAACTTCTGAGTTTGGCTCCGATAGCTTATTAAACAAAAAAGTTGTTCATATAAGAACTCATTGGTCGATCGATTGATTCTACGAGAGCAGTCAAATTTCAATGACTTTTAGTCGAAAAATATGTGCTGCCTGCAGTAAAAAGACGATTATGCTTCGAGTTTGATCAAGATAGCGCTAAAAATTAGGGATAATCGACTCGGCTATAATTGCTGTTCAACACTATATATATATTGTGGGTTCAGAGACGTCTTCATTGAAGTCATCACAAAGATGACGAGAAAACTATAATACCCTCTGTTGGTGTATACTAACTGAAATCGCTGACTGCGCATAAGTTGCACTCTCTCGTGTCTCATGTCTCATGTTTGACTGACTGACTAAATGATTGAGTGCACTAGGTACAAGCAACAGCAACAACAGCAACAACAACATTCATTTTGTCAGTTACAACTGACTGCATCCAAAGCACTCAGCTGTGCCGAGCTACCCACTCCAATACATACACAGAGTGTTCCTCTCTCTGTCAGACGTACGCTGTGGCGTCTCTGTTTGCTGGGGAGTCTATTATCAAACCACATCCGCTGTGCAGCAGAAACTATATGCATATATTTATATATAAATGTATATATATATAGTCGACATAACAAACAGCGGATATAAAAATATCTAGTTGAATTAAAGCCTGCAACAACTTGAGCATAACATGAAATGAAAGCAACAACTTGCAACTGTTTACAAATGATTAGTTTTGGACGCATCTCAATGAATGGCGAGAGACTTGTGAATTATTGCATTTACGTATAGAGGGATGATCTATAGTATATAGTCAAAACTTTACGTGAGAATTTTACGAGTTATGAATGAATATATAGCAATACACATTATGCATATTTAATGAAGATGATTAATCGGGCCTCATCTTATAAATTAACTGGCAATCAACAATGAGGGATTTATTGACTTGGATGTGACATAAATTATATATATCTCCCTACAGATTTACAATCTATACTTAATTATGATTCCTTTGTGCACAAACACTATTTTTGAAAGACTCAAGATCTAAAAACTGTTTAAAGTTGAGAAATTTTCTAAGAAATTATTAAGAATTTCAATAGTTCTTTATATTGTATTCTATTTACAACACTTTTGCCTCATAAGAAATAATGTAAATATTTAAGAAGTAGCTATTATTAAAATAAGCGAATTTCTTAAGAACTTTTTGTGCAATATTTGTATATATACCATCTCCATTTCAATTTATTTATTTAATTAGCAACATTTTCATGAAATGCTCTTTATTCACTGTTCGCCGATAAGAAATTATGTTTATATTTATAATTTTGTTATTATCATTAAGGAAATTATTAGAAACTGATAAAAAATAAACAATTTTATACCTTCAATCTCGATTATTATAATATTCTTTAATTTCTTCAACAAGTTTACTTGAAATGCTCTTTAATTCTTTGTTCCCTGATAAGAAATTATGTTAATATTGAAATTGTATCATTAGGGAAATTGTTAGCAACTGATAATACAACATTTCTACATATTCAATTAAAATTCCATGTTGTCAAGCCGAAAGAAATTTCAGTTCCGACAAAGATTATGATTTTTGTTTTAAATTCGTTGGGTTTCCAAAACCATAATCTTACTTGAATCCCCACTCAACAGACCCGTTATTTGACCCCAAATTCGTTTGGACTTAGTACACAGAATTAATTCTAGTCCAATTAATTGCTTTGACAAGTTTTCTAGAAATGCTTTTAAGTTCCTCGGTTGGACTTAGTACACAGAATTAATTCTAGTCCAATTAATTGCTTTGACAAGTTTTCTAGAAATGCTTTTAAATTCCTCAATTATTGTCCACAAACAATTTCTCATATATACAATTTATATAGATATTTACTTGTTTAAGGACGGTTGTCACGGCTCACCAGGATACATATACAAAATATAGTATATACTACAGCGTATATATATCTATATACTAAGGAAACTAGCTCACATGGATATAAATACAAGTAGTAGTATATACTATAATACTACATAAACTGTAAGAAAGCTTGTCTTGTCTCACATTGTCGCCCAGTTAAGAGGATGAGTCAGTCGCCACAATTTGTTTCTCCTTGAAGGTTTGCTCAAGCGTAAATACTTAATATTGATTGCCCGTGAAATGTTTTCCAGGCACTTTGTCCACCCACGTGTTCATTTTTCATGCCATTGGAGGCAGTTCATGCATTTCAACATAATTGCTATTGGCATTCCTTCCTAAACGCACACGCACACAGCAAGCAACAAGAACTCCTTACACATTCAGTCTCACACACACACAGCCAAATGCCTCTCAAAATCAAGTACAAAAGACGCCGATTCTAGTTGGGATGGGTTAATAAGTTTATGGAGGGGGGAGGGGAAATACGTATGTACAAAAATATGTGCGCATAAAATTGGCGTAGGTTCCATTTGCATTGTTGTTATTGTCGGCATTCTTGTGGTGGGTTGGGCCCCAACAACAACGACAACAACGACAACAACCGCAACAATAACAACAACTTGTGGTTTTGTATTTTATGATACTCTGGCAGCTAGTTTAAAAAAATATTGAAAATATTGTCTGTGTGCGTTTTGTTTTATATTTGTTTGTTTGTGTTTCGATTATTTACAATATTTTGTGCATGACTCAAAATGATATTTACATTACAACAATGCAAGGCAAATTGAAAACAACTATTATGTCAAATTTTAATTGTTTAAATTTTAACTGCAAGAGTATCGAAAGGTCGACTTGAATGAAAGCTGTCAACATTTGTTATATTTTCGCTTTTTGCCATTTGCACAGTTTTTATGCGCGCGCCTTTTTGTGAGTGTGGATCGCAGACAGTTTGGGTTTTATTTGCCGTTTTACCATTTGAGATTAGACTTTTTTCCTTGGGAAAATGCCGTTGAGATGTTTTTGCTCTGTTTTTGTAATTTACACGCTGGCCAATTATTTTTTTGCTTTGCTTTTCCTGGCAAATGGACTCAATCAGATGGGATGAATGTAAAAAGCAAAATCAATAAATTTACAGCTCCTTTATTGTTTTGTGGTGTTTTGTGTGTTTATGTAAGCTGCTGTTTCCAAATTGATGCTGCGCATGTGGTTACGGTACGAGAAGCTTTAGCTTTACTTTACTTTGGTTTGGGTTTTTTTTATTTATTTATTTTTTTTTGTTTTTCCTTTTGTTGGCTACGCACCGCAAGCGAATGCAGCAGCAGCAGCGCCAGGCTCGCTGCCCGAAGATGATGTTGATGAGTCAGTCAGTCAGTCAGCTGGAGGGAGGCCGGGGAACGGTATGGAATTGCAACCCCCGTTGAACGAAGGGTTCGAATTCGAATTGTGGTTCGGGTTCGAGTTTGGGTTCGTTGCACTACGTTCAATTTGCGGGCAGTTCCTTTCTTGTTCTTCTTCTTGTTCTTGCGTCTTTCCTCAACTATTGCTTTGCGTCTCTGTTTGTATTCATTTATTATGTATTGTACTTAGTCACTTTGGTCTGCTTCTGAATTCCCGATTTGTTTATGTATTTTTGCAAACAAAAATACCGATTATGTATGCATATTGTGCGATATTCACGCGAAATACATCCATTAAAACTTTATACAACACAAAATTTCACGTTTCGAGAGGGGGTTTTTTCACGTATAACACACTGAATGAAGAATATACACGGGGAATATAGTTCTCTGGCGAGACGGTGACACGGGACAACCGTCGCCAACAACTGTTGAAAACGCACTCAGCGGCCAGGTCGACCCGAGATCCGTGACAGCCCCAACATCGTTACTCAGAACACAGCACTCAGCACTCGGCTTTTGTTCTCACTCTGTCGCTCTCTCAGAACAAAACGAACGAACGAGGGTTGTTCGAGCGACCTCTGCCTATGCGTTGGCGTGTGTGTGTGTGTGTATGCACAGTGACTGCCTTGTCTGCCTGCTCTCAGGTAATTTGTGTGTTGGGGCGTGGGAATTTTTGCACCCACTCGAGTATTCCCCATTACGCTCTGTTTATGTTTTGATTGACGCCTCTCATTTCTCGTGCGTTCTGCTTAGCAATTGTACATGCGCTCAGCGCCTCTCATTTACATACACATGCATACGAAATTCAAATAGAGTGAATAATTCTCTCTTAGCAATTTTAAGAGCATATTAAATAGTTACGCTCTCGTGTCATATCAGTCATACAAATTTGAATGGCTTATTACATTTATTTTCTTAATCAGCTGTGAGAAATTCAGCGGGATTTTTTAGATACACGATTTAAATTCCCAAAGTAACATTTTAAATAAACAACAAACGTGTTTCTTCATTATGCTGTTAAACATAAACAAACAATGTTTATGGGTCCCTTGAAATTTCAAAAACATTCCATGCTGTTATTTAAGTTGATTTACGTGATAACAAATTCAAACATTTTTCCACGTTCCAAAGTAACCGCAAATATATATGGGGATCTCTATGATATAATTATGTAAATTTGCATAGCATGGACAGGCCTTTTCTTTTATACCTAATATAAAAGAGAGAGCCGAGTCAAATACAATCAATTCAATCGCATGAACATACAAAAATTAATAAAGCTTAATTTACGTAAGCGCCAAGCAAACGAATTGTTTTCCATGTATTAGGTAAAAAATGATAAAATGGGATCAATTGATCAATTAGCAATGCAATGTCAAAAAGCCCATCAAACAAACAATGCAATCAAAAGATGCACAGACACTAACAAAAAATAACAAAAAGAAAATAAATAAAAAAAACTGCGAATTTTGAAGAAAAAAATGGATAGTCTTTCTTCTTATATTTATATAAAAGATATTATTATTTGTTGTCATAGTTAACAAGGTGAATTTAAATAGATTTTGGCATAAATAGTCACATTCAACTTTTTATGATCAATACGCAAGATGACAATTGATAAAATATACACAAATGATATACATATTTATTGAATTGATTTGGTTAGGCTTTAACAATCCACATTCGGACTGAGTGTGGCTATTTATAGCAAAGCAGACTTTGTATTAACATTATTAATATTAGTGCAAGTAATTAGCAGTTCAAGTGGGTCGCGCATAAAGCTGACAGTTTACCTTTCTCGAGTGAACTTAAAGCTAACTACTTTCGAGCTTACTTTCTATGCTTGAGGAATTTCAGAGATACGTAGATAGATAGATACATAGATACATAGATACTAATAGTCTTACAGTTGAACAATGGTACTCACCAGACTATCGGCCACATTTTGACTCATTATACACAATCTTGGCCAGCTGCTGCAATTACTTCAATGTGCGTGCTTAGACTTTGGTAAGATGCAATTGCTGCCGTTGCCGTTGCTGCTGCTGTTGTTGTTGGTGATGATGATGATGAAGATGATGACTGGTATCTGTTGGATACGCGCATTTTGACTTGGCAACGTCTAACATCAGATATATATATAGTATTTTGTTGTATGTGTTGTGTTCGTATGTAATTGCTGGAATTGTGCAACTGGCGGCGGCTGCTGCTGCTTTTGCTGCCAGGCGGATGTATCTGCGGCCCAAAAACTTGCAATGGATTGGATGGCTACGCACGAAATTTCAAGTTTTCTTTTGTGCCACTGGAGCTGTAAGAAAGCGACGAAACAAACAAATATATCAACGCACATCGGTAAAAGCTGTGAAAAGCATTTAAAACTCGCGCACTAAACGCGTTTTCTATAACATAAAAACACACAAGAAACACACAACACACACACACACACACAGAGGGGCACACACAGTCGGAGGAAAGTGCGCGCAAATGAAATGGCCAATAAAAAACGCACTCACATTGCGGGCACGTAAAAGACCATTCAGCAGCAGCAGTGTCCAATGCCCATAGACACCCAACAGACCCAAGACGAGCCCATGTCACGGACTGCAGACCAAAGCGACTCTTTGCGCCCCACGATAACAACTAAACTAACCGAGCCGAACCGAGCTGAACGTGATGAGCAGCTGATTTACGATATTGGGCGACAGAAAGCAGCAGCAGCAGTAGTAGCAGTAGCAGCTACTGCGTACAGTGGGACAACAAGGTGATGTAAAAAGTGAAATTTGTTTTTTTTTTTTTTTTAATAGTTTTAATAATAAAAAGTTGTTGTGATTCAAGTCTTTTCGTTGCTTCCCTTTTTACAACAGAATATTGTTATTAATTCTCTGACACATCATTTTGATTTCGTTTTGCAATTCACTAAATTCGTAAAAATCATCTAGCAGAAATACTACTATATCAACTTAAGACTTAGTCTTTGCATTTATATATTAGATAATTGGGCTTTCAATAATCATCACCATGTTTGCTAATCTCTCACCACTGTGCAGCTGCGATCACGCGTCGACGGTGCCGCTTGTCAGTCAAGCAAATGATGAATTTCTTTTTTACAGGCCAATACGAAGTTCGAAAAGATAGCGGGGCTTGTCAAATGTTTAACAACAACACACAACGCTAATGAAAGTTTATTTTGTTTTTGCCAGTTTTGTGTTGCTTTTTGGACAGTTTTACATGTTGCTGTTGCTTCAGTGGTGTGTGTTTTCTGTATAGATCGATGAGATACATGCAAGAATGCGAAAAATGTTTGTGCAGACAATGCGAAAACAAAACAAAAGAACCTGCGGTCGAGTCTTGGGCTTGCGCGAATATCGTACGGTGGCAAGAGAGCGAGAGCGAGCGACAGATGATGAGAGAGTTGCAAATCAGGTGAATTTTACATTCACGGAGCGTAAACGGATCTTAGCAGAATGAGAGCGAATATCGTAAATTTAAGAATAGTTCATTTTCTGTTGACTTCGAGCAGAGCTTTTACATTTGTTTGCTGGCATGACGTATACGCTTAACATGAGCAATGAGTCTTTGATAGCTAATACAACTCAAAACTTGCCTGGCTACTTTACGTGATGTTTCCTAATTTTGCATTAAATTTATTTCTTATTTATATTATAATATCTGTTGCTTAACATGCACATTAAGGGCAATGCTTTTTACTTTTTATCCAAAACAAGCCGTCATCAACCTTGATTACCTTGGCAGCAAACTGACCCTTTTGAAAGCAGACAACTTGAAATATGCATAAGTAAGCGGCGAAACGGCAGAAAAAGCGCCAAGAATCCAACGAGAGATCTTAATTATGAGTTGTAGTAGCCTCCACTTGAAATATGTACATATGTAGATGCATATATAAGTATGTTTTTCTGTTTTTTTGTTTTATTTAATATAAATGTATAGTTGCCTTGTGTGGCTGATATGTCATGGAACTACACCGGCTCAATTCATTAGCATTTTAAATTTAGCCTCAACTTAAAGCGAGCGTTGTTCTTCTCAGTGAGCGTTCCCTTTGTTTTTGTTTTTGTTTTTCTTGCTTGTTTGTTGCGAAAACAAAAAATAATAAATAAATAAATAAATATAAAAAGTGACGTGCGCTTTTTGAGCGTTTGCTTTTTACACTACACCTCCACACGGAGTCCATATACGATAAAAAAAAAAAAGTTTATCTATATTAAATACGAACATATGTATTTACCACGTATCTACATATATAAAATGCTCTGCTTATTTATATATTTATATACATATATATATACATATATATTGGTTGTCACCATGCAATATTTTGATGTGTAAACGCATTTTATTGATGTTTTGATTATTAATTTGAACAACAGCACATTTGTCGACCTTTTACGCTCCAGCAGAGCACGGCTTAAACGTGCCTCTCTCTCTCTCCCTCTCTCTCGCTCTCTTGCTCAGTGAGAGCAGACAAGTCGGTTTTAATGATCTCATTGCCCAAAAAGAAGAAGTCAAATATTTTATATGCTCTCAACTTAGGAATTATTTGTTGTCTTTGTCTTTGCGATGGTTTTATGTTTTGTTGTTGTTGTTTTTTGTTGTTGTTGTTTTGTTTTTTGTCTTAACACGCGTTTTGAACGTGCTTTAATTATTGGTCACATATCACGATTGGCCAACAAAGCAGCGAAAAATAATCTGGCAAAAGGTTTTTTGTGCACTTTTATCTTTCCGTGTTTGTTCACTTGTTAATAACTGTTTCAGCAGTGCAAGATTCATTTTTGTAGCTGTTAAGTTTGTTTACTTGTTTAATTAATATTTTTTTTCTTCATATTTTATTAAGATGAATTGAGAAAATTTTCCTTTTCACAGTTTGTTATTTTTATTGTTTTATATTTTTTCATTTTAAGCGCTTCTCAGTATTCCATAAATCGCACCTAGGAGTTTTTTTTATGATCGTCTCTTTGGAAAACAAGAAAACACGTTGCAATTTGCAACTGGTTTACAACTATGCAACAATACAAACTCACACATACACACACACACTACCGACACATACACACACACAGCTATACAACTGCAGGTGAGCAAATGGCAATTTACGTGTAAATTTTCGCATACAATTTGAGTAGCTTTATTTTCGCACAAACCATTTTTTTTGCCATTAATTTTAGTAATAATATATTGAATTTTAAAGAAACTTTCGTATACCTTTTACATTTTCGTTTAGCCACTTGCTGATTATGTTGTTGTTGTTGTTCCTTTTGTTGTTGTTGTTGGCTGCTGTTCGTTTACTTTTGTGCACTTTTCACACACAAACTCGAAACAGAAAATGCCATTAAACTATGTGTTTGTTGTTGGCTTGAAAATTTTCGTTACGCTTTGGCAGACATTACGAGCCACTCTCCGCACTTTCGCGTTCCCCTCTCTACTTCTCGCTCCCTCTCTCTATCTCCCTTTCTCTCTCTCGCGCCCGTTACCCAACAACGAATGTTGCCTTTTTTTGAGACCGAAACGAAATGGCGAACCCGCAGCGACGAACCCGTCTGTCTATCTTTGGTTACACGTAGTTTGCGACTGAATGCCAAAACCGAAATCGAACTGAAGCTGGCCCCTACTGGGAGAGCGTTAATCTGCGCCAAAGAGCGCAAGACGCAGACGGGAGAGACGATCGCAGCACTCGCTCCGAATCGACTACCTGCTGCTGCTTGCTTACCTGTTGCTGCCATTGCGCCGAAGATCGTAGATTGGTCGTGGTACAAACACAAAGATACATTTTCGATTAATGGAAACCGACTGGGGATTTACCAAAAAAGACTACTTAATCAAGTTAGATAGTAAAAATAATATTGACTTAAATAGTTTATGAATAAATTGAATTACACATTAATATCATAATATAATTTAAATTTGTATATATAAGTTTTTTTTTAGTTTGTATGTACAAATGAAGATAAAAAATAACTAGTTGTATGCAAGGCAGTCTTTTTACACATATTAAAAAATTATGAATTTAACATTTCAGTTTCAATTTACCAAAGTGCTGCAAAGCTTCTTTTTAATCTTCTCGAATGTGACAATGTTATTTGTGAGCGACTCGATATTATTGCGGTAGGGAAACATGTTGCCCGACGACTCGAAATTGTGTTTGGCGCGTCGCAAACGCTTTTGAATTTGCTCGCGATCGTGCAATCCGCCGGAAGACAGCTCCAAGTCTGTGGAGAGCAGGGCCGAGAGCAACGAGGCAATCTCAAAGCTAAGTTCGAATTTGGGCCCAACAACTTGATCGAGCAGCATTGTGTGGGATGCGAATTCACTGCTTGGACGAGGTCCCTGGGCAGACTGCAATAACAAAACAACATTTATAACACATATATTTAATGGAACTCACGCTCGAAACTCACCAGTAATTTTGGTAGTTGTTCGGACAGACTGAAATCGATTGTTGGCTGCAGTGCAAAATGGTTTTCCTGGCATTGTGGCGTGTATTGATAGCCTTGTGGAGTGCTTCGAAAGCAGGGATTCATTTTCAGCAATTTCAAGCGTTTTCGGACGGCCTCGGGCAACTGATAGTCATGCACATTCGGTAGAATTGTGTTCAACACAATTGCGGATAGTTCCACTGTCGAATAGTTGTTCAGGGCCTCCGAGGAGTGATGGAAATCCTTAAAAACACATGGATCCTGTATGAAAAGCAGTCGAGACGAAACGGTTGCATATTCAATGAGCTCCTTTTGCAACGCTGACAATGCAGGGCGAATCTGCGCGGAGGTATTTTCATTTGTGAGTCTATATTGAAACTCATTAATATCGCTTGTTGTGTTCATGTTATTAATGAATGTGCCACGGCCGGCTACAACAAAAAATGTTGCCGATTTTAAATATCGATTTATTGATAGCGATTTATCGAGTGAATCGACGTAGTCAATCGATTTCATTAATATTATTTTGATCTGCATTAGGTTGTTTGATTGATGTAGCAATTGTATAAATTAAGCATTTAACCTTTTTTTTTGCAACATGCAATTGAAAATGGATTTGAAAAATAACTAACTTAACTGTTTTGTTTGTTTGTAGAATAGTCGCAGTTGTCCACCTTATTTTACAAAGAATCCTAATCGATAGTTGGTATTTTGTATTCAGGGCTTTTTGTGCTCAACAGCATACGGTCACACTACAACGTTGAAAATGGACGAAGAACTGAGATTGATAAACAACAATTTAACCGATGCATTTTCCAAATTAATGAAAAGCGCCTCAAAATGTAAAAGTAAAGCGCTGCAACAGCGCAAACAGAACCTTGCCACGCTGATAAGACAACATGTGCGGCACCTGCAACAGACGGTGGTAACAAATCGAAGGCGTCGCCAGCAGCGAATGCGAATGCAACTAAAAAAAATGCGCACCTTTTTCATGCAACAAATGATCGAGTTGCAAACAAACTACATGCAAATGTTTGTCATGCTGCGCATGAAGCATGCCCAGCTGCAGAGCGTCGAAGAGAGCCTGGCGACAGTCGAACAAAAGCCCGATGCCACTTGCCAATCTGCGACTGAAGCAATTGGAGCAACTGGCGAGACGACATTGTTCTGGGAGCATCAAATACCGCAATTTAGCGATGAGGAGTTCCTCGACAGCCTGCACGTCTCGCGCAGCACATTCCGCTCGCTGTGCAGCCAATTGGCGCCCACGCTGCGCCTTGCGCCCGAGCTGACCTGCGCCGTGCCGCATCCAATCTCGGCGGATAAGTGTGTGGGTCTCGCCCTCTATTTTCTGGCCAGTGGCGAACGCATCTCCATCATCTCGGATCAGTTTGCGCTGCCGCGTACCCGCACCATCAAGTGCCTGAAGATCTTCTGCAACGCTGTGATGTCCAGCCTAGGCAAGGCGTTGCGTATGTTGCCGCAGAGCGTGGCGGATTGTGACAATGTCGTTGCCGGTTTCCAAAGGGAGTGCAACATGCCCGCCGCTCTGGTTGGAATGCTGGGCGTCTGCTGCATTCCGTTGCGGGGCAAAGCGAAGCATTATGCGGAAGATGGGCCATCGTTGCGCATGGAGTTCCTCCTGGACGATCGCATGCTGTTCCGTGAGTTGCAACTGGGCAACAATCACGGAAGAGTGCCACTCTCGCCATTGTTCTCGGAGACACCGAATCCGTTGGCGTTGCTGCCACCGCGCAGCATCAACAAGCGAAAGGTTCCCGCTTTTGTATTGGCGCCCGTCAATCAAAACTATCCGCTGCGTCCGTGGCTGTTGCAACGCTATGCGGATCCAGTGGCACCGCACGAATACGACTTCAACGAGGTGGCCGATCATCTGCAGGAGCTCAGCGATTGCGCTCTTCACCGCCTCATGTCTCGCTGGCGCTTCCTCAGCCAGCCCTTGGACATCAGTTTCCAGACAGCTGCCTGCATCATTACAGCTGCCACAGTGCTGCACAATCTGCTCGAGGAGCTGAGTGAACCCCATATGCTTGAATGGGGCAACACTGTGGACGTCTCCAGATTCAGATCACCGCCAATCGTTCCCAAGCCGGATAACAGCGAGGATGCCGAGCATGCATTAAAAGTACGCGATTTTCTGGCACGCACCATCAGCTCCACGGAAATGTAAATTGCACGTTAAGTAAATAGACTAAGGATAACATTTGTGCATATATTAAGTGATTTAAGTGTTATATATATAAATTTAATACCCATGAAGTCAAACACAAATTGGATTTTTTATTAATAATTTATTTAAATTTCCCCTTTCGTTTTTACAATTACAAGCATTTATATCGATAACGGTCGCTACTCTATTTATCGAGCCTGCAACAATCGATAAGCCAGAGTACATAGGTTCAAGGGATGTATTTTTTAATTTTATATATATGAAGACAAAAAAACATTTGATTTTTTTTATTTTCGTTATCTTTGTAAAGTCCCGCTTTCCTTATTACCTCAACTACAAGCATTTACATCGATAACAACAACAGTTCGATTTAGGGAGTCTGCAACACTAAACTATAAATATGAATATAAGCAATCGATAACATCGAGTAACATGCAAGCCGACAAAAAACATTTGCAGCGATTGTCGCCGTACATTCCCATTAAATAATGCAGTGAGTAGAGAACCAGATCCGGCAAAATGACTAACTTAATCCATGCTAATTACCACTATTTGTTGCCGCAGGCGATCGCGGGCGAGCAGCACGAGCAGCGGCCGAGCGCCGCTTACCGCTCAACCGCTTGGCCAGCCACTGGAGGTGCCCAAGATTATCATAATACATCCGGGTTCGCAGCATTTGCGCATTGGCCGCGCTGCCGACCTCAACCCGCTGACAATGCTGCATGCGGTCGCCTATAGGCGACGTCAAACGCTCGACGCACCACATCATGATCCACTGCTGCCGCCGCTGGACAACGTCCATGCCGATCGTCTGCAGCTAGAGTTCGAGGAGCAGCGTTTGGCCGTCTCGCGCATTCTTCAGCACTGCATTGTCGACGAACAGAATCGGTTGCGTGTTGCAACTCCTCCACAGCAATTAGCACATTTCAATCGCAGCAGCGCCGCCGAAAAAATTCCATCACCGATGCCAAGCGAAGAGATGCAGAGCGATGCCGTGGATGTGCTCTACGACGAGCAAATACTCCGTCTCAATGCCAGCGATGCCCTCAACTATGACATACACTTTCCCATACGACGAGGCGAGTTGAATGTGCACGGCCAGCAGGGTGGATCACTGCAGGCGACGCTGTCGCATCTGGAGCGCATTTGGTGCCACGCGCTTGAGCAGCGTCTGGGCATACCACGACGGGAGTTGAGCACCCACAGCGCTGTCCTTGTTGTCAACGATGTCTATGTGCGGCGGCATCTGCGCGAGGCAATGACACTGCTGCTGCAGCGCATGGGATTCCAGCGCTGCTTTCTCGTTCAGGACAGCGTGGCGGCCACGTATGGTGCCGGCGTTGGCTACGGCTGCGTCGTAGACATTGGTGCCCAGAAGACATCGATTGCCTGCATTGAGGATGGCATCTCGCAGCTGGATGCACGCGTCCGACTTGATTATGGAGGCGGCGACATTGATCAGGTGCTGCTCATGCTGCTGCGCAAATGTGGGTTTCCCTATCGCGAGTGCAGCGTCCACAAGAGCTATGTGGACGCCCAGCTGCTGGATGACCTCAAGGAGCGCTTTTGCCACCTAAATGCCAGCGTATGCGGTGCCCAGGAGAAGCATTTCACATTGCGCCAGGCGAGCGGGCAATGGGTGCGCTACACGCTGCAGGTGGGTGATGAGGTGATCATGGCACCACTGGCACTCTTCCACACCGAGCTGCTCAACATTACGGGCAAATCGCGTGCGGTGCACACCCAGCAATCGGTGCAGGAGCAATATGATTGCGAGGATTGCTTTGATGCGGAATATTTGCGGGAGACTGGTCGCCGGAATGGAGTGCGAGCTGTTGACTTACCCATGCCGAATAGCAACATGCTGAAGCATGCCCAGGTGCCCATCACAGCCGACGATGAGGAGCTGCTCATTGTGGTCGATCAGGAGGAGATGCCACCCAACAGCAACAGTAACAGCAACTCCCAGCAGCAGCAGCAAAATCAACAGCAGCAGCAGGCTTCGTCCAAGTCCAACAACTCGTGGTATTATAATGCTGGGGGGCAGGTGGTGCCTCTAGATCAGGCCATTATCCGTGCAATTGGACGCTGTGGCAGCTACGAGACGCGCCGCAAAATGTTTGGCGCCATTCTGCTGGTGGGCAGCAGTGCCAAGATGCGTGGCCTCGCCGCCTGGCTGGAGCAGCGCATTTGCCAGCAGATGCCGCCCGGCCACGAGGTGAATGTGTTCCTCAAAGGCATGGATGTGGGCATGGTAGCGTGGAAAGGCGCCGCCATCATGTCCGTGCTTGAGAGTGCCCGCGAGCTGTGGATCTCGCAGCGCGAGTGGCAGCGCTATGGATTACGCATCCTGCGCGAACGTTCCCCCTTCCTCTGGTAGCATCCAACTCTCCAATAAATAATTATAAATCTAACTATAAATAAATCATTTTACAAGTTTATATGAAAAATGGGAATTGGGAAAGAAGAGGATAAACTTGAGACGTGTTCAATAAAGGGAGAAGGAAGCATCTCCAATCCCATAAGGTTTATATATTCATGATCAACAGCAATAACCGAACCGAACTACCCATGTCTGTCTATATGATAAAGCGTATATCAGAGACTATTAAGAACTCAGAGTATTCCAGTGTGGAATCTAAGATATCGCTTATCAGAGGCATATCAAGTTCACTTTATTCTGCCACCGTTTCTCAAACACACAAAGATACAATTATAAACAAATAGCTTTCCAATTCCCTACAATATCATTGATAAGCTGTACAAATTTCATCAAGTTCGTATAAGAAACACATTGAGCAAACTAATATCGACAAGCCTATTTGTTCATTTAAAATCCCGAAGCTTTAAATCGAATATGAATTTTATAATTGAATTGCATGTTTGTTCCAATGTTTCCAAATAAATTGATCCGACTTTCGAATCGTCCAATTCTTTATAAAGTGTCTAAACTTATCCAACATCTTATCAAACAGCAGGTCAAAATTGCTAACTCTAAAATACTTCATTTCCAGTGGATCACAATCATTAACAATATATTCTTCAGCTCTTTAAGCTTTCTCTTCACGAACATTAAATGAATAAGCAATCTCTCTTGTACATTCAAAAAATGTATAGTTTATTTGTTTAAAAATGTGTCAGCTGTGATGCGAGTACAAACATTTAGTACAGACGCTGGGGTGGACCCATCGATGACTTGATGTGCAGGGAACGAACGTTCTGCCAGTTCTTCTTGAGCAGGGAGACCAAGAAATTGATCGACAAGCTCACGTTCTGGGAGAGCTCGTCCTGCTTCATGTCAACGTGTCCAACGGCAACGGACAGGCACAAGACCTTCTTCATCTGGAACTTAATTGTGGACTTGACCTCCTCAATTTTGCCCATCATCGACTCCTGGTGCGACAACAGACCAGGGAACTTGCCAGCCTTGTTCAGACCGGGACCCAACAGACGTGGAATCTGCTTGATCAGCGACTCGGAGGCGAGGAAAGCATCATAGGACTTGGCCAGTTTCTTCACCAGCTTCTTGTTCTTGTTCAGCTTCTTCAGGGCCTCAGCATCCATGAACTCAACGCCATTGGCCTTGGCCTCATCGCAATGCTGCTGATCACCCAAAATGCACACCTTCATCTTGGGACGTGGGATGTGCTTTAGCCTGCAAAACGATATGGAAATCATTAGCAAGCCACTCAAATATCAAAATGCAAACAATTCCAAAAACAAAAAGAAGACAAATTTCGTTAAGTCAAAACTTACATAGCTCGCAGAGGAGCCAGGCGTTTGTTAATAAATTCAATTAAATTATTGGGAGGGTCGGTAGTATTGCTACTACCTACTCAATTTGATTTTAAGACCCTGAGTGCAGGTCCGCCGATGTGGTATACACACACACATTCGACTGCCTAACACTGTGTAGCCAGCCAGGGATGACTCTTCATCTCTTGGTTAACAGTGTAGGTTATTTTAGCCAACGTACTTAACAGTGCCAGAGAAACGCTTATCCTTTTGGGGATCGTAGTTCTTCAGGCCGATTTGCAATTCGACCGTCTCCAAGAAGCCGCGCTTCTTCTTCAGCGAAGACTCGAGCAGTCCACTGACGCCCTCGAGGAGCGTGTCACGAGACACTTTCGATCTGCAATTCAAATTAATTCGTTAATTGTAAACTTTATCAAGATTGTGTAATATGTTTGTTTAAACATTGTGCAAATGGTTGCAACTTGCATGAGTTAGTTGCATATTTGACACAAAATTTATGATTTTCTATTGCAATCATTTCCAAACTGATGTGGTCATTGATGATTGTCCAAAAAGCTGGTTTCTGATTGCCACACACCACAAATATTGTGAAGAACATATAAGGCAGCATTGGATCAAGTATTATGCTGTCTTATATTCTTTAAAATATTCGAGATGTGTTCAATTTTTAACGATTTATTTTGCGCAGTCTACTTACGCCATGTTACACCTTGCAACGTTCGTACACGAAAGAAAGATTCCAGCGTTGAGATATTCGCTTATACTATCGATTTATTTTTTGCCAGAATTGCCCCGATGTGGTTATCGATAGTCGGTGTCGTATGGCAAGTAGTGGCAACGCCAAAAGTTAATACACAAATTAATAAGTTTGGCAACAAAGGCTGATGTTTTTTAAGTTTAAGCAGTCCAAAAAAATTTGAAATCGCCTGTGTTTGAATTAGACCAGTTTGTATGGCAGTCTCATCACAACAATATAACTAAAATCAATTTCATTCAGCTAATGCTGCCAGTAGCACCACAAAGAGCTGTCAAAGAGCAAGCAAAGAGCGTAAAACGCGAGTTGAGAGCAAGAGAAATAAGAGAGTGGAAATTTGGTGGTCAAACAAAACAATTGCTTTCACATTCGCGTTGGGCCTGCGTTGAGTTTTCAGATAAAACTTCTGTCGTTCTATTCGTGAGTGTGAAGTGATGTGCCCATCGCTGTAATTTACGAATTATATAACTTATAATCCAAAAATTGCTTTCATTGATTTTCTCACAGCCACCAGTAACTCTAGAAATCAGGCTTTGAACATGGCACGCCTCATCGAGAGCAATGTAAGTTACGAAACAAGTTTGAATGCAGCCTTTGCATAATTCCTGATAACCACCTGCCTGCCGCCCCCTCCCTCACCCATCCCATCTTCTCATCTATCGCACGCACATCACAATTTTGGGTAGCTATTTCATAATTCTTAAAAATATCCATTTGTTTTGTATGTATGTATTTGGCATCTCCCACAAAAGATTGCAAAGAATATGCGGATAGACTACAAATGTACACAAATATAATACGAAATATAAAATATTTGCTTTTCGAACACATTGTCAAATGACGTCATGCCCCTCATGATTAGTAAGGTGTATTTAAACTGTATATTTATTTTTAATCAACAAGATGACGTTAACCAACAAGAGCTCAAACTGCATCATACGATAATTAATAGCGTTTTGTTAATTAAATTTAATATTCAACACACATTATTATTACACATAAATATAGCTTTAGCTATTGACGTAAATGGTTGTGTGCGATACGTCACGTCGACGTCACGGTACGGCGTTTACATTTACAACACATATCAGCTGTTCAAACATCTGAACCGCTCTTTGATGAAAATGTTAAGGGCTCTCTTAAATCTCAGCTAGTCAGCGGCGAGTACATTAATTTTACTCAGTAAAATTTACTGCCTTTCTGTTTATCTCTGTCTGTCTCCCTCTCTCGTTACGCTCAGGCAGTGGTAGATTTTTGTTTATCATCGTTACAAAACGGCGTACGTTTCACAGTGCATAACATATGTATTTGCCTTATAAATGATAACAAAAAAATATAGTTAATTTTCGGTTTGACATCAATTTGCAATAGAATGCAAGTCAGATCTTATATATACAACTGCAATTGATTTTGCAGGGATCTGGAGTTATAGTCGGGCTAGATTTATTACGTTGGTCAGTTAACTGTTTGGCAGCACTGTTTGCTACGCAAGCTCGTTTGCTCGGCGCCCGGCCCTCGTGTTGACTCCGCCGCTTCGACTTCATTTCAATTGGAAATTGTACACCGCAGCAAGCGGTTGATCAAACGTTTGATATTTCTATTGGTCAAATTGAATATATCTGAATATTTTCAATTGCAAGTGATTGTGTGAGAAAATGACGGATTTCGATGTAAGTTCAATGCAAATTTCAATTGAAAGGGCAGGTGCCACGCGCGCTTGAAGAGACCAACGCGGACTCTTTCTCTTTTCTCTCTCTTTATCTGCTCTCTGTTTATCTGTGGGCTGGCAGTGACGTCATAGTTAATTAATGGCAGCCGTAGCGCTTTGGGTGCCCCTGTGCGTTGTGAAATGTTTACTCTAGCGAAATATTAAAGTGGACTACGGCTTCAAGGTCACGGCCGAGACGGTTATTGTGTCATTTAGCGTCTTTGCCAGCTGAAATAACCTCAATTATGTCTGGCTTCACAAAAGCCGCAAAAACCAAAACTAATCCGCAGACTCAAATTTCTTTGGCTTTGGCTATGTGGCTTTATTTGTTGTCGATTCACAATGCAAAGTCATCTTTATGTGGAAAATTTTAAACACTTGGCGAAGCGATTACAGACAGCAGATTCTACGCATACAGCACAGTTTGAACTTTAATCAGCAAAGGCATCATCTGTCTGTGTCTATAACTAAAAATAAAACACGTAACGCAAATAATTTCTACTGCAATCAGGAACATAATCGTTCACTTACATAAAATTAGTTTAGATTAGATAAGAAAACAATAATTAATATATATATATATATATATATATATTCCACTTGCATAATAGCAACTAACGCATTGTTAATAATTATTTTAATTTGATTTTCGATTTGTATACTAATTTCGCGGTTTATTCTGTTTGCAGATTGTTCCCATTGCTGTGGGCGTTGTGGCTGTGGTTGCCGGCGCATTGATAGTCCACTATTTGATCAACAAGAAATCGACGAAGCCGCGCCGTGAACCAAATCGAACGGCACGTTTGAGGACGCTCGTCGATGCGAATGACAAGTATCAGCTGCCGCTGGTTGAGAAGGAGGTGCTCAGCCATGATACGAGACGTTTCCGTTTCGGTTTGCCCTCCAAGCAGCATATACTCGGTTTGCCTGTCGGCCAGCACATTCATCTGATTGCTACCATCGATAATGAGCTTGTGATACGGCCGTATACTCCAATTTCATCGGACGATGATGTTGGCTATGTAGACTTGGTGGTTAAGGTGTACTTTAAGGACACACATCCCAAATTCCCCGCTGGCGGTAAAATGACCCAGCATTTGGAGCAAATGGAGGTGGGCGATAAGATTTCGTTCCGTGGACCGTCGGGTAGATTGCAGTATTTGGGCAACGGCACCTTCTCCATTAAAAAGTTGCGCAAGGATCCGCCCAAACAGGTGACCGCCAAGCGTGTCAACATGATTGCCGGCGGCACCGGAATCACACCCATGTTGCAACTGGTGCGTGAAGTTCTCAAGCACAGCGACAAGGACAACACTCAACTGGCACTGCTCTTTGCCAACCAGGTGAGTTCATCAATTAATTCACGTATTTGCACATGATTCAAGTTAATAGCATTACATCTTGCCTTTTGTAGAGTGAAAAGGATATTTTGCTGCGCGCCGAACTGGATGAGCTGGCCAAGAAACATCCCGACCAGTTCAAGGTCTGGTACACTGTGGACAAAGCTGCCGAAGGTGAGCAGCGACTGCAAATGCTTCCCTCCGCACACGTATTAGACATAAATCAGTCATCCAGTCAATTTCATGTTCATTTTACATATAGGTTTTTATTTGAAGAGATTTTAACTTTAATTATTAATTTATTTCATCTGAGTGTTAGAAGTTTGTTGGTCAAAGTTAGTCTTTATGTTTTTAGAATAAGATTTATGTTGCAAGTCTATTATTACTAGGGACCGTGAAGAGATTTCGATTGTTTAGGATAAAAGAATGTATGATTTGTAGTCACATTTTGATTGTAGATTTGCAAGTGCATGTTAATTAAAATTAGGACGCATTTTCCATCATGTTCACGTGTAGCAATCGTAATGCTAATGCCAAAAAAGTCATCTATTATGTTGAGTATCTTGTGTTTGCTCCTCATGCCACATGCTGCCCTCCAACGGATGCCCCGCACGGCGCACGCACGTTTCATAGCCTGGTCCTACAATACCGGCCACGTCAACGATGAGATGATGGGCGAACAACTGTATCCGCCGCATCCAGAGACGCTGTGTCTGCTGTGCGGACCGCCGCCAATGGTCAACTATACGTGCATACCTGGTCTCGAACGGCTGGGCCATCGATCCGAGCAACGTTTTAGCTATTAAGTCCAACCACCAGCTAGCATCTGTACATATATTTATATATATAATTTTGATTTCATATCACAATGCGAGGGGAGCGTTGTAGGTCGTATAGGTCGGTCTTGACAGTAACAACAGCAAACGAATTGAATCTTGCATCTAATCCATTTGTTCTTTTGTCTTGTCTAATCCCAATTAGGTTGGAAACACAGCGTTGGATTCATTAATGATGAAATGATTGCCGCCCATCTGCTGCCGGCCAACGATGATACGATTGTGCTACTCTGTGGACCGCCGCCCATGATCAACTTTGCCTGCAATCCAGCGTTAGACAAGCTTGGCTATCATCCGGACACACGTTTTGCGTATTAAAAAGGCTCCACACCATCGGCACACATGGGAGGGATTACACAAACACACATTTATTGGAGGCGACACGACACAACTTGCATTTCTGTTCTGTCCATCTCTCTATGCTCAGGAGTTAGCATTTGCATTTGAATCGGTACGAATTATCCATAAATACTCCTGGCCGCAGTTATTTCAATGGGAATTGATCAAATGCCGCCGCGCACTTTGCTTTGTTTTAAATTTTGACATAAACAACTGTTACTGTTATGCATGGAGAGCTAAACATTTTCATTTAAATGGGATTTGCATAAGCCAGCAATTTGTTGTCGTTGAACTCTGATTTGGTTTGTACACGATCCACGAGGGTAATAATTATTCAGTTCATTCAGCAATTCGCTTATTCATTTGCAATCACTTCAATTTCATTTAAGCACGCGTTTGTTGATTTCATCGATTTTAATTAATTTGTTATACATTCACACTGAAAATGCTGTGGATACTACTTAAATCCCTAAAGGGCCAATCAATGTTTTATTTTTCTGTGCAGTACTCCAATCCGATCGACATGAAAGTTGTTGTTTAGATAACGATACTGATAAAAATAATAGATATATATATATACACTATGATTTGCCTCTTTTTATGGACTTTAGCCACTGAATTTTATTATTTATGTCAAACGAAATTCAAAGTACAAGAAGTGTGTTTAAATGTAAGACAAATTCTAGTTTAACAGATGCTAACGCGAATTACACATATTCAGTCATCTTTACTATGCTGGGCAACTTATATTGATATTGGTATTTATTGGCTTATTACATATAATAAAAAAAGGTCAACTAAACTTGTAGTAAGCGTGTCATTACGTGTAAATTTGTATATAGGTAATATTTAATAAAAAACACTAGCTACAAATAGGTTCAGTTTCAGTTAGTGAGAGTAGTAAAATATTGTTATTGGGGTTTGAAGTAAAATTGATATATTTGTTTTTGGGGTTCACAGAACATTTATAGCCTATTTAGTTTGCAATATATATATATATGTATGTATGTATATCATAAATATGTTATAATATTTAATTTGGGCTGAGTGTTAGTTGCAAAATGATGAGAGACTTATTGTTAACATACATATCAGAATATATATATTTATAAATACGTTAAATATAAAGAATACAATGAAAGCAAACAAGAAATTAACTCAAATGCTTATGATTCGGATTATTTTGTGATTATTATTGTGTATGTATTAATTCATCTTGCTTGTGGTGCTCTCTAAAATCATTTGCTGCTGCGCACGCTTTGCGTTGTAAGCTCTTGTCCTGGACTTGATCGCACTTGTGGTTTTATGTGTATGGTGTTTGAGAGTTCTTTGTCGTAGCTCATCTTTTATATGGCCAGTCAGCAAATACAAATGGTCCAGGTAGCTTTGGTGGTGACAGTGCTTTGTTGCAATCCGCGGGCGCGCCTTGTCAGCTGGCAGTAATTTCTTAACTGATTGTAATTACAGTTACGACGTGTATCTACTAGAAAGGTGTTATTACATTACATTAAAAACGCTAAATTACAATACAATTTGATCATGGCTGATGCTGAAGTAAAAAACACTTAAAACTTATATAACAAATTGGCCTCCGATTTAATTTGGCTAGCCGCATTATGATCCTTGACAATCTCATTGATTTCGGATTCGCTCATTTCAATGGACTCCATTGAAGCCACTTTCTTGTATCTGCAAAGGAGTTGCAAAATGCGTTTGTTATTTGCCGTAAACTAAAGCAATATTGAAATGAATTGCACAACTTACTTGTCCCTATTGTACTTTTCCCGTATGGCCTGCGTACTTAAATCTTTGGCTGCCTTGTGCGTCTTGCACAGCATCAATACGATATTCTTCAATTGGTCCAGTGAGTATTTGGTTATCTCCTCCAACTGAGATGTCCAAATCGGCATGCCCAAAAAGTGTCGCGCAAATGCGAGTGAAGCAGCCGACATCAATGATGGCAAATATTGCATATAAGTTTCGCCCTCCAGTAGTGACAACTCACAAATGTACTGCAAATCGTAAGAGTAACAATTGAACAATTTATCTTAAATGCTGTCACGGGCACTGGCCAACTTACCAAAGTCATGCACTTCAGCTTCTCGGGCATATCGGACATCACCGCATAGGTGTTGATAAACACATAGGGTGTCGGTGTACACAAGTTAAAGGAGAGAATCTTAAGGAAAACATTCTCCATGCGCAACACCTGCGCCTTTGTGTAGCTGTCGTCGGTGAGAAAGACAAACTCTCCAACATCTGGTGGGTAAATCTCCTCATATTTACTGTGTGGGAAAAAAATAATATAAAATAGATGAGCCAAACTTGAACAGCCAAACAGAGTAAATGGTACAGAAAATGACGATTTTTACAGCTGGGTAAATAAATTTATGGTAAATGGTGTCAATAGCTAATCATTGTGTGATGTGTTTATATTGTAAAATAATTTGATTAGCGTAAGTGCTTAAGCCAACAAACTATCAATCACAAAATATATATTCTCGCCTGTCTCCCCGTGATAAATGGCTACAAGCTTGCCACTTACTAACCACACAACTATTACGAGTGGGTTGGCTGCATTTTGGTTACTTACGAGGCAATGTACATGGCAGCAGTGCCAACGAGTTGCAGCTTGGAGCGCTTCACCGACATCTGGCTGAGGAAACGGTCCAAGTAGGAGACAGACAAGTAGAGAGTCTCAGTATCCAGTTTATATTCCTCGGCAACTTCAACGAGCCAATCAACCAGAATGGTGCGCATCGAATGATTGATGTCAGTCTGGCGACGCATGTACTGCGGTTTTGGGCGATGCTTCTTCTGCAACGACGAAATCGGAAAATAAATAAAAAAAAATATATAAAAAAACAAGAAATGTTGCAATAAATGGAAGGGGTGGCTTTCATCTAGATTTCGAAATACTCAATCTCAATTAAAGTTAGTTTTAAAAGTAGTAAGCCACAAACATCGCACACAAAATACCATTCTTAATTTACTCATTCAACTGCACAAATATTTAACTTAACACCTTTTGCAACGCTAGCTATTTTCTGCACCTTCCACAGATACATTCTATATACATATTTTATTTTCGAATTTGGCAACCCATACTTCAAATAACTTCGACTACGCTTGGGAACCAAACTTGCACGCTTGCCGGACGACTCTTCTTTTACTCCCCCGGGGCCGTCAGCGTTTTCCCCAATCGAATTTACCAATTTTTATTTGTTTATTGGTTATTTCGCAGTACGTGAGCCGCATTTAAATATATGAGCTGCGCCACGCCACGCCCGGCGCACAAATCTTTTCTTTTCGTTGGCCAAAACAGCAATACAAACACGCTGTACATTAGGTGTTTATTTAATGGGCAATTTAACGATTATTGGACACGCCAAACGCCAAAGCTTATGGGTAGTAAAGTATACAGGGAAATGGTCCAAGTTTTCCGCTACGGCATAATATATTTGCTATGTAGCTCTAATTAAAGAGCCAGGCAAAGTTCAAAGGCTTAAAGTTTGAAACTTGCTTAACTATGATTAAGACGATTATAGACACTACTACTGAGAAGAAAATAACAACCAATAAACGAATAATAATAAAAATAAATAAAGGTTAAAAAGTTTATAGAGACACTACTGCAGGAAAACAACAACCAATAATCTAATAATAACAAGAAAGATCTACACTTCTATACTAATTTTGGTCATAAGATTAGCACATTATTTCTATCGATAATATAAACAGTTTGCTGACAGCTCAGGGTCTTTGAGGTTTTATGAGGGTTGTGTCTGCTGTTGTTATGCTACAAACGAGAAACTAAGCTACGAGCCAACAAACAACAATTAACAATCAACAAAAACGACCCGACCCGGCAACCGAGCAAACAAACTCAAAGCACAAATCCGGTTTGAATATCAGACAGCGAAATACTTTCATTACTGAAACAGACTCAACTACGAGTGTCTATACGTGTTTATATATATTTAATAGAAAGAGTAGGATCACAGTTTCTAAAGGGGGACAAGATGGCACTGCAGATGGCCTTGTGCACCAAGGATGACCTAAGCGAGGCGGTCAAACTGCAGAAGCGCGAACAGTACGAAGAGGAGCGTAAGAAGCGCATCTTCAATGCCAGGCAGCGACTCTTTGGGGTGAGTAGAAGAGCAGCAGAAGCAGCAAGGACTAGATTAATATTGAATTTGTCTCTCTGCCGGCTGCAGCTTGATCTGGACACCTTGGAGCGTCAGATATTGGAGAAGAAGAAACAGCAAAGTGTTCAACTGGAATGTGATAAACGTTACGAGGAGCAGGAACAGCTGCAGAAGCGCCTGATCACCGCCAAGGATAAGGAGCTGGAGAAGGAGAAACGTATTCTCGACTCGGATCTCAACTATTATCGTTGTCGCTATCAGCGCATGGATCAACGACGTGAATTCGATCTGAACGATCCCAATTTTCTGAAGAAATCAAAGCCGGCCCGCATTGCCGACGCCGACAACTCGCTGGGCATATCCAGTGCACAGATCTTCTACGGTGAGGATCTGTGCAAGAACGATCGCCAGATAAGGCAGCGGGAACAACAGCGCGCCTGGCTCGATCAGCAGGTGCTGGAGCGCAAACAGGCAGAGGAGGCACGTCGCCAAGCGGACAATGTGTACATGGAGAGTGTCCAGTGTCGTGACAAGCATCTGGAGGAGATGGCCAAATCGGATCATCGCACGCGCCATCAAATCATACACAAGATACGCCAGTTTAACGTCAATCTGGCCAAGCAGAAGCAAGCGAATCGTGCACGCGAAAAACTGGAGACATATGAGGATGACATGGCCGAGATTTACAATATGCTGTCCAGCGATATGCTGACAGAGAATCCGGACGTTGCCCAGTCACGCTCCAATCCGAATCGAAAGATCGCCTTCATGTATCGTGGCATGACACCCGAGGAGCTGCTCGACTTCCGCAAGAGCCAGGAACAGCAGCTGTCGGACACGTTGCAGCGCAAAACGGAGACTCAGCTGATGGACAAACAGTGGGAACAGTATGCCATGAATATGGATCGCACCCTGATGCTCAAGCAGATTGATATGGATCGCAAGCACAAGCAGCAATTGGATGATTTGGTGCGGGCCAATGCGAAGCTGGCCATCGAACAGGATCAGCAGCGCAAGGATGCCCTCGTCCAGCTGAGCAATGCAGTCAGTGACGATTTCTACGATCAATTCAACAAGACCTCACGTTAGTTCTATATATATATACATATAGTTAGTTCATCTCTGATCCGTGTGTGGAATTGAGGCGTCAGCATTTCGAATTGTGTTGCCGTCTGAATTCCACACACGTTCAAATGCATTTCAAATTCAAATGTATAATTAAAGCGTAAATTACAAATTAAACACTGCTTTTTATCGATTATTGATTGGGCAGACTAACTTGAATAGAATACTAAATCAGAATGTCTAAAATTCCTTTGTACAACTCAATCATAAAAATGAATTTAAAAATCGAATGCATTACAAATTTCATATAAATATAATATGGGATACTTTGTGTTGCTAAAACGGAAATAAATTTTCATTTATTTTTAGATGAACGACATTTAATCAACGGATTCAAGTTTTTATTTACTAAAGATACGAATTGAAATCCCTTACTATTTACGACGTTCTTTTCAAATGCGCAATGAACTAAAAACGGGTCAAGGAAAGGGCATTTTCTGAAAACTAATTACGACAACAGTCGAGAAACAGGGCAGTGGCAGAGTTCTTAACACTGGTGTGTTCTTCCTTAACTGATAAAACAGTAACACGAAAAGAAAAAAACAAACCAAGCGAAGCAGGCAGGAAAAACAAAAGAAAAGCAGCGACGCGCGAAGAAATCGTCAGCAGTCTGAGTCTGAGGGTGCACGGCAGGGTTCTGCTCTGTTTGGGCTCAGCTATTCACATTGAGTGTGTGTTGCAATAGTAGTAGTAGTCTTTACAACAACATACAACTAAATGGTATGCATATGTAACTTTGGTTAAGTACGTGACAAGGCGCACCACACACAGAGTAAGCGTTAAGTTAAGGACTGTCTCTTGCAATCAGAGAGACGAAATGTTCGCTTATCATATTTTGGATGGTTGATCAAATCTATTGTATATATAGAATATTTAGTATTTAGTGCTACTTACCTCGCTCTGACGGAAATTTTCTAGAACATCCTGCTGATACTCAACGACTTCGAAGAAGCGCTGACGATCGTTGCGCGGCAGAATCACACCTTGCAAGACTGCAGCAGCAGCAATAGCAGCAGCATCCTTGTCCTCGGAGAGGCTGTTGTCAGTTAGCTGGTTGCTGCTGATATTGCTGGCATCGGCCATGGAACGGTCCACGGACATCGGTGATAGCACATCGGTGACGGACATGGGCGTGGCAACCAAATCATAAACATTCTGGCTGGTGAACTCACTGCAAGAGAGAATGAACAAAGTGGAATAAGTGAAAAATCAACACTCAAACGACTCTGATTGAGGCACTTACAGTGTATGGTTGTCACAGGGTTGTTGTATATTCTCCTTGTCGGCAACATTGCTGCTAATCGACTTGCCAGTATTTATTTGCACCTGTGTATCGATATTGTCCTCATAGACGGAGAAGGTTTTGAACTGCTCCACCACTGGCACCACCACATTCGGTTTCTTAGCGCCGCCAAAGGTCTGTGAGAAAGAAAACCGAGAATACACAAGAAAAAAAAGAACAAATAAGTAACAAAAGTGACGCAATTACAGCACTGTGTGTGTACGCGTGTGTGTGTGTGTTAGAAGGGGAAGCATTACAACGACAATAACAACAACAACGATAACAGCGGGAGAACGAACGTCAGTTGTTGTCTCGCTTTCTTAAATATTCTCCCCTCTATGGAAAAATCCTGTTACGTATGGCTGCGCAGTCGTCGTCCGCTTTTCTTGTTGTTTTTGTTTTACTGTGCGCGCCTTTTGCTGGCTTCCCTAAATACATTTCACTCTCTCTTTTGCTGTCTCTCTCTCACTCTCTGTCCTGCTTTCTGCATGAGTATGTGCTGTATGTAATTGCATTGCAATGCACGTCACGTTTGCTTGTTTGCTTTAATAGCCTTTTGCATGCTGCTGCTTCCCTTTATTACAACTGCTTCTGCTGAATAGAGACCCACACACAAACACTTGCATATATAGAGCAAAAATAATTGCAAATACTTATTAAATATATAAAAAGAACTTTTTTCTTTGAGGTGTAATCGAGGAAACTCATCGAGACAGGCTGAAAAAAAACCCACCACCATTGGTGTCTAGTCAGTGATCTCACCACCACCAACAAAGTTGAAACGGCAGCTGCATTAGAATGACAAACACACATAAGCACACACACACGCACACACAACGATGAAATAAGGATGAAAAGGTGCTGGAACTTTACCATATTGCCGGGTGCCGCGGAGATGTTGCGCGGCACATTTCCTTGGTTATTGTTAGTGCTGAGCACCGCCAAATTGGTGCGCGTTGCAAGAGCCTTTTCCTTACCGATTACGGCGAGTGGCTGCTTTGTGGTCTTTTCCTTGAAATTCATTGGTTTTGGATTCTCCTTTTCGTTGTCGCGATGTATTTGAAAACTCGCCATCTTTTACCGTAGGTTCTTCTGCTTTACGATCGAAATTTAGTGCAAAATACCTTTTATTTTGTAGCCAAAGCGAACGCGATTACTTTGCCTTGTGCTCTTTTCGCTGCTGCTAAAATGATGGCTTTATCTGCGCTTCTCTTTACTTGATGTGCGCAAGTATGTGTGGCGTGTATGTAGCTTCGTTTCTTTAGCTCAGCTGCTGCTGCTGCGTCGGCGGCGTTGAGTCGTCGTCGTTTGTTGAGTCGCTTGCGCTTCGGTTTTCACCAATACTAGCATAAACGCATATGTATGCGTTAGTCTAAATGCTCAAAGTCGGACACATTTATGCACAGGCAAATGAAATCCAATAAATTTGAAGAACAATTTACATTTAACATCCAAGACGCATACGATTATGATACAGTTGGCTTTTAATTTTTACAACGATTTTACATTACTTCTGCGCAGCACTTGAATTTGATTTACATTTAAAATTGTACGCAAGCTCACGTCAATCCCGAATCGCTTCGGTTACACCGTTCTGCGAGACCCGAACTTATGCTTATCGCACGGCCAAAGAGCAATAAATGTTTGATTTTTTCCCGGTCAATTATAAGCGAACTCGTTACTTTCTTCTTATTTCGATATACGGTACATCGATATATGCATATTAGCGATAGTTATCATTTTCGATATAAAAGAAATTTAAAGTATCATGGATTTCGGTGGTATTACCATTTATTTGGTTTTTACAAAGTAGTAAAACTTATATTAAAATCGGAGTGTTTTTTATTTGATGGCATTTGAAATTAAGCAGCCTGATATATCGATATGCAGTTTTTACATTTGGAGTAATATGCTACTGCTAATATGCTGCTTTGATTCGAAATAAGTGGCAACGCCTTTGGACTGTGCTGCCAGATCAGCCCATAAGGTGATCTCTTTTCAGCGCGAATTATATTTTTCATACTTAAAATGATTTTTTAAAAACTGAACAGGGATGTTTACTTATCCTATTACTTGTCTGATTTGTAAATAATTTTTTGCCAACGCAAAAGGTGCTTAATCAATATCTGTTGATCTTTCTGTCTAGTCCCTCAGTTTTTAAGCAATCTTGACGAAACTTGTCACACATCCGTATTTTTGTTGCGGATAGTACATATGCCGGAGCCGATAGGATCGGATAACTATATCATATAGCAATTAAAGAAACCATTAAAGGGTAGATAATTTCTAACATGAAACATTTTTTGTTTACCAAGTTATCCCAACCAAATTCATCAGTTATGCTTGGAAAAAAAATGATTGACTATATGATATATCGCTCATAGGAACAATCGACTTACTGATTAAATTTCATATTGCCACAACTAATTGATTATAATATCTCAACATATTGTACAAAAATATTTAATATTTATTATAAATGTTAAATTCCGAAAGATAAACTCGAAGGTGTTGCAAGTTTCATTTCCTTTCAGTGCGATACGCATTGCAAATATTGAAGAGAATGCACCACAAGGCAACCGTAATCTGTTAACAATGAAAGAATCCGGCGTTTTCTTCAATGATTTTTGCGCAATTGTTTTGTGTTGCGAATCGCATCACACAAATAAATAATAGCCTTAGGTAGAACAGACGATGGCCGTCTGCTTCTTGTCTTGTGACTTAATAAACATCTGCTGTTGATTTTCAGGAGCCATCGCAGCCAGAAGCCAAAAGCAAACATACAGATATACAGATACATACATATATGTACATATGTATGTATACCTTAAGCTGTGTGGTTATTGAGCACGCAGATGTTGGCCAGGACACTTTATGCCCAATATTTATTGACATCTCGTTCGTTGAGGTTTAAAATTTGCCACTGTGGGTGAGGGTGCAAAGAGCAAAGACTTTTAGCTTGGCGAATTTGTATGCTGACACGAAATTTTTCCAATAACAATTTTTGTTTTGAATAAGTTATTATTGTAGAAACTTCTACTTGAATGTGGAGTTAGCTGAAAGTCCAAATTTTAGTTTATATTGAGCATGCTCTAAATATTATTAAACAAATATGATCTTTAAGCAAATCTATGAATCTAATCTATTTATTTTATTTTTCTTCGTCTCCATATGACCATTTAATAATAAATGTGCGAATCTGCATGGGATTCAAGGTGACACTGAATTTAGAGGAGTCACTTGCACCATTAGCCCACAACGGATCGTGTGGAGCTGTAAAGTATTCCACAGCCTTTGGCATTGATCCTTGGTGATGGAACTTGAATCTCTTCATGTCACTCAGAAGCATGTTGCCATCCAAAGTAGTTTCTTTGATCTCCTTGCCACCCAACGAATCGAAGATGTCGCGAATATTGAAGCTGACTGTGTGACCCTCACTGTGATCCATAAAGTTCTCAAGGCGCATAAGGATTTCATTGCTGGAATACGGCTCGAGTGTTAGCAGATTAACCGATTGCGGGAAATTGCTGAAATCTGGTATCGTTGGCTTAACCACACTGGGCGCATTCGAACTACTAAAGAATTTCCAGAATGGCAGATGAATTTCTTGCTGTGCCAAGCGCTCTCCAATTGTGGGCTTCTCCTCAGCTGAGTTTAAGATGAGATACACTTTACCGCGTGCAATTAAACCCACACCGAATTGAGTCTCATTTAGGGCCTCGCCAACCCCAAATGCATCGTCCTTAAGAAGGCGACGATGGAGCATGAGTTCCAGCTGGCCATCTTGGAGACTAGATCCACCCTGGGCGCGATCGTTGAGTAAAGCGATTCGCTTTTGCTGATCCTCAATGGAAATGCGTGCAGTAACGGGATAATAATTGCCGCTAACGGACTCGGTCATATTGGGAGTGAAGTACTCGCGTTTGTTTACTTCACGCTTGATCATCTCGCGTCCATTTGAATCGGTGTAGAAGACACCCTTGGAGGCGACTCCACTCGTGAAGCGAGTCACAATCTCCCGACCCTGGTCATCGTCAATCGGAATGGGTCCAATCAACCACTCAAATTCTACCCGATTGACGCCTTCATAGATGCGAATTACTTGGGAAATCCACTCATTCACATGCTGATGGACTTCCTTAACTTGAACACCATCGAAAATGGTGTAGTCAACGTTATCTGTCAGTAAACTAATGTCACCATTGGGCCGGAATATGTATGCTCCAGAGGAACGATGCTCAGCTCCTTGGTTGTTGCCCTGGGCACCCGTGTATATGCCAAAGCTTTGCCCAATATCCTCCGTTAGTCCGTTCATTTGCACAGTCTTTAGGTGTCCGCTTGTCTTGTCGAACGTAAGCTTGATTAGCTGTAAAGGAAATTGTTTGTCAATAGATATTTATGTATAGTGTTATCTATCAAAGTCATCTATCAGTTTATTACCAAACTGTTTGGGTTGTGTCTTGATTATCAATTTTAAAATGTTCCCTTACCGAATTCTGTATAATAAATTCATCCGATTCCGCATCATCATTGGACATTGCCTGCATCATCGAATGCACCTTTTCAAAACGTTCGAAAGCTGGCTTCTGTGAGTTTCTCGGCGCCGGCAGATTACGTATGTAGAAGTTGGCGATCTTGTCCACGGTTGCCTTGAAGACCAACTCATGCTGTGTGGCATTCGTGCGGTGCTCAATAGCCAGAACTTGCCAAGGCACCGGCACCACCTCCGAAGCAACTTGTTGCCCTATGAAGAGATTGATGAAGATGAGTAAATTGATGGGTATAATCATTTAAACATACCCTTCTCATTTGTCACCAAGTATTGTTCGTTGTTAACCGGCACACGCACATATTGGGCAGAGGGATGGGCGAGTGGGTTGAAGAGAGTCACAACCACATTGTTGGCACTATTCTCAGTGAATGCACAGACACTGATATTCAGCTGCAAGCAGCTATCGAACTCTCCTGTGCTCAGATTGGTGAGCACTCGAAGCGCATCCCGTGCATTATGCTGGGCATCGACAATAGCATCGGTGAGTAGGCGATCGTAGTCGCGGGCAACTGCCTGCTTCTCAGTACCCGTGATGGCATCATGATGCTGCATTACGCCCATCACTTGACGCAGTGAGTCCAAATTTCCAGTTTGCTGGGCGCTCGTCAATTTCGCGAACGTACTCAACTGTTTGACGGTCTGCAGCAAATGATTGCCATCGCGCTCAAAGCGCTTTTGTGTTGGACGCGATGTAAAGTAGCCTGTCCAATAGGAATGTGCGTCACTGGAGTACGGGAAGAAGTCCTGTGTCTTCTTTGGCCAATTTAGCTGCATTTGGTGCACTTCCTTGAGGTAGCAAGAGGGTGTTGAATAAAACACATTCACTTTCGACCCTTCCAGTTGTCGCTGGTTTACATACCTAAGATAATCAGAATTTAAGGTAAGATAAGATTAGATCCATTTAAATATAAAATATATGTTTTACTTGATTAGTTTGTCCATGTTCTTGAAATTTATTTCTGCGTCTTCGTATTGAAAGTCATCGCCCATGGGCACCATTACATGTGTAGCTCGGAATGAGTTAGACATTTTCTTCACATAGCTCACGAAGCTATCGACTCGAGCCTTAACATTATTATCGTAGCTCTTGCCATCGATAATTGGGTCATCGCTGCAGAGAACGTCAAAGCAGAATCCTGGTGGAGCCGAGTAGTGATGATACAGCATGCCCGTAAAGAGATCCGAGTCACTCAATGACTCACTAGATTGCCAAATCATTTCCATTGCCATGTCCTCCAGACGTTTCCCCTTCTCAACGTGATCCATGCGGGCAAAGAACTCACCATTATAGCCCATCTGTGCAAACATCGAGGCCATCTCACGGGAATGCCCAAAGGGATCAATCTGCCAGCCAATGCGTGGACGTCCACAAGCGCCAAATGTATCATTTAGAATTCTAAGTGAAAGTTGGCATCAGAAAATTGAGCAGAAAGTCGTTATTGACTGTTACCCACTTTAAACCCAGTGAGAACTGATCAATGACGCTTTGATAGTGAACGGCGGCCTCATCGTTCATACTCCATGCACCACCAGTAAACTCCAAGCGACCTTCGTTGACCAATTGCTTTACAAGTCCTCGGACTAGCTCCGTTTGTTCCTGGTACCACTTGAAGAAGAATGCCGTCTCCACTTGTATGAAGCGACGTGACGAATCCTTCAATAGCTCGGCGACCACCGAATCAAAAATATATTGTACGCCAGCATGCTGTATATTATTCTTATGTCCATAATAATACTGATCGACCGTCTTCAGCCAGCCAACATCGTCGTGCGAATGTGGCACTAAATGCACATTAATCATGTTTGGCTTCGTTGCAGGACACGACTGGAATGACAGATTCATGTTACGCATACGCAATCGCGATAATTATCTATAAATTTATGCATCTCACACACCTCATAGCCACATACTGCGTCCGATTGGCCTGTGCTTATAAATAGCAGGGCCCCTAATAGAAATATGCCGCCGAGGAGCTGCATTATGCCACCAACGACTCCAATTGAGAACTGGAGACGAAAGCAAACGGATTAGCTTTTATATACATATGCGCTCAACCAAGCGATTGGAACACATAAAACGGCATTTGGAGAGCGTATAATAAACGGAGATAACACAAGAGCGATTACGTTTATGTATATTGGTACTTGCATACATATATAGATATATATATATATGTGTGTACATGTATATGTCTGTGTGTGTGTCTGTGCACGTTTTCCTATTAGACGATTAGCTCTTAATAGCAGGATGCGACTACGGTTTGATTAGCATTTATTTGTTGAGATTTAATTATTGTTCCCAGGAAAAAATGATACATAATAATTGAGATTCCGCTTTTTTTTTTATTTTTTAATGCCGACTTATGTTGACACAGGAAAATTAATTCAATTAGTAATTAAAATAATAAAACAACAGGTTCATAAAAGCGAATAACTAGCTAAGGGCAATGTTTAAAAGATCATTTGATAATATTCCTCAATGAAGTTAAGTAATCTATATATACGATGTTCGTTATATTCAATTTAATACGTTATCTGAAGGCTTATACTGAATTCATGGCAGCAATACTTATAATCTTGAGTGTTGTGGACTTCATTAAATGGATTTTTAATTGTATAGGTATTTACGATGATTGTGTTTACTAAATCGCATTAATATTTTTATGAATTCGAACTAAGTCACCACAATATTTGAGTAATTTATGCGGATTAAAGCAAAAGTATTGCGTTCATTTTTCAGAGATTAACGTTCTGTGTGTTGGAATTTAGTCTGGTAATGAAATGTGCATGCTAAAAATTTGCTTTCAATAATTTTGACCAGATAATAATTGAGACTTTTGATGCGTTGCATAAGGAATTTAATCCCGTAAAATTCATAAATTAATTGGATTAGCGCTTTTTGAAAAATGAATAGTAATGATTAAATTAATTCTGTGTTGTTCTGGAATCAGATGGCATATTACCAAATTAGAATAAGCAATTCAATACTTGAATATTAATTACTCATACTATTCAAGAAGTTGCTTTAAGCGATATCTTAAAATCAATTCAAATTTATTCTCTTCAACGAAAGCCAATTCAAGCGAATCACTTTAAATATTCTTTAAATATTCTAAATTAATTTGGGTGAGCGGAAAGAGTGAACAAATCGACAAACTTCTAATACGGGTATACAAATGATTCGACTCACAATGGAAACGAAACAAGAATATTTCCAGTGAATGTTCAGTTGACAAAACTTTCGCATTATTTATAATTGCATTATTTATGTTTAATCAGCCAACAAAGACAATAAAAAGATTTTAATTTAACAATTAGTTGATGAGTTAGAATATATTAAATTCAGTCCACTGTGCACTGTCAGTTTTGATAGAATCCGCACTTAATGCAAACTGTGCATTTTATGCTTGCTGTCCTTTCTTTGTCAAGAAAACGCAGTCAATTAACAAGAATCAATCGAGTTGCTCGCTATGAACTGCCCTGTATTAGGCTTCATGTTGTAAATAAGTAAAGAACCCAAAATAAAATGAATAGGTTGAGTCGATTTCGATTGCGTAGAATTTTAGCAAAGTCCTTTAAACTTTTACAATAATTGTAGAGCGCTTTATCTGATTATTATTAAAGCAACGCAATCATGAATGTACTCTAAGTTTGACTCTAGGGTATTAAGACTGAAAATGAGCAAAAACGCCAGAAAAACGGAATTTAATTTAATTTCTCTTTAGTTAGAGGAACATAGAGATCAAGTGGAAAGCCTGCAGCAATATCCTTGCCGTGCAAAGGAAGCATTTAGTGTTGCACGACAGCCTGCGCCCAAGTCACTTAAAGCACGATAAGAATGTCGGCTCAAGTCTGTTTTTTTCTTTTTTACATTTTTTTATAGCCAACTATGTTGGGGCAAGTGGCGCATAAGTAAGCAAAACACATGTTTCAAGTTGGGTAAAAGATAAGAAGTACGTGGAAAATTGGTGCAGTAGCACCTGCTGCTCTAAATATGCAAATATACTCGAATATAGTGGATGGATAAATTAGACAAAGCCTTACTTATTTTATTTTGCCTAATTTTTTTTGCCTTCAGCTCTACCTCAACTACTTTTACTACTTTGTGCGTATTCCAACTATGAATCATTTCATAAACAACTAACATACAAGTCGTTTTCCTTATCGTAGTTCCAACTAATCAAACAACCTCCATCTGCCATTATTTACACCACTTTCTGGCCATTTGTTTCGGTCTTCAAGCCTACCTATAAATATATATATATATATATATATATATATATATATATTTATACATTTATGTAAGGCGTATCTGCCAAAAAAAAAATGGTCAAGTGCTGAAAAGTGGGTTGTGGAAAAAGTTAAAAATTGAAATGTGCAACTTTCCAACTTCACAAAGGGTGAAATTGTGATGAGGGGATTCCTTGGATAGGTCTGCGGTTCGCCATGCAAATAATAATAACCGTTGAATTGCCAAAATAAAGCAGCTCCAAATAAAAGTTGAACAATATGTTGTCCTTTTTTTATTTGTTGCGTTTTTTCTTTTTTTTTTGGGTTGCCACTTGGTAATGTCGCCCCAGTTGCAAACTGTTTAACTGTTGATAATTTGTGCAAAAGTTTTCAGCTGCCACTGGGAATTGTTTGCTTTTTTTATGAGTATCGCTGGGGTCTGAACAAAAAAAGAAAAATCACTTTTTTCAGTTTTCTTGTTTTTATTTGTATTTCTTTTTTGCTGTACTGTTGAGCAGATTTGTGAGTAGCACTAAATGCTGATGGCTTTTTTATTGACATCCCTGCAGTTGACAGCGCTGCTCAGGTGTATTTCCCCAAAGCTCTGAGGCGTCTGCTGGCGACTCCCTATCCAATCAAACAACTGTCTTCTTATTAACTGCATTTGCGTAAACAAAAAAATAATAATAAATTCGTATAGCTAATACTTGTAATTATAATATCAAGCTCTTCAAACAATAGACGAACTCAACTTTTCATAATGGAATGGGTGGGTGTACTCATATTTATTCATAAATTTAAATCTGCTAAGCGTATACGTAAATAGCATTCAACTCGATTAGATTTTCTTGTAATATATTTCGTTACTTGCATTGTTTTAAATCCGTACGCATTGAGCGGTCAGTTTGATTAACAGTAATGTGGATGCCGTTCAAAATGTAACAGCGAAAGAGAAAACAAGAGCGAGCTTTTTGACACCCACAACCACCCGCTGGGCGTCCCAAAAGAGAGAGTGAGAGACCACGTCATGAAAAATATGGGATATGATTATTCTTGCTCATTCTTCATCTGCCATCGTATATCATCAACAATAGTCATAACCCCAGCAGGGGACCGTTGACATGAGGCACGTTTATTCATGGCATAGAGTTGTCCCTTAAATTAATGACATCATTTACAAATTTGCAAATCGTCGCGTTCTGTTATCGGCAACGTCAAGGTGCAGAGTGCGGCTCTCTAAAATTTGAACATTGAAAAAATGGTTGTGGGAAAAGTGCCGTAAAATAACAAGCAGCACTTTGGGCAAAAGGGTGTCAAGTGTTGTGCAAATAAATGCCATTCAATTCTCGTTTTCATTTGTGTTTCTTTTGCTTTTCTATTGAGAGCTCTAAGGATTATCTATGAATTTAAGCCAGTTCAATTTGTTTCACTCTTTAATTTCGAAAAACTAAATAAAATATCACTAAATCGGACACACTTCCATAACAAACAAAAATAATAAGTTAACAATATAAAAAAAAATCAGTGGCCGTTTCTACGGGTCATTGCGGCAAATGATGGATATACGACGGTCCTTCGTCACGGGCTTGCCAAGAAACTTTGAATGCTCTTTGGACAGAATTTCATGTGTGAAATTGTATCGAGCCGTGTGGCTCATGATGTAAAGTGAGCGACGTGGCAACAGTAGATCCGCATAGAAATTGTTTTCCAGCGCAGTCACCGGCTGCTGGCGGTACGCGGTGTCGTCTTCGGTACTTGTTCCGTTTTGCTGATGCTTTTTGGCATCTGTCCGCACCAGACGCATGACGCTGTCGCTGAGCAAACTGATGCCCGAAATGGTGTTGCCGCAGTACTGTTAACGAAATGAGAGTTTAATCAAAGCTACTCTTGTTATGGGCTGGATAGACTTACGCGAATGCTGTCCACATGCGGCTTGATGACACCGTCAGCGGCTAAGTCCAGCACGTGCACGTAGGGCATAATAGCGCCATTAAAGGCTAGCAGACGCACACGCTCCAGAAGCTCTCGATTTTGCGGATACCATTTTTTGCGTTCCGTCTCCCTAAAGCCATGTATCGCCTGCCAACAGGGAATTAAATTGGTATTTTAAATTGCGTTCCTCTTACTCACATCATCCCAGTGGTCAAACTCATAGCGCAGTCGGCTCATATAGGGTTCGATTTCCTCATGCAACTGTTTCTCCTCTGCCTCGCTGATGAACTCCGGCACAATGCGCATGTGCTGCTCAAAGTCTCTTTGCTCTGCCGGCGGCCAATTGCCATGAAAACATGTCAAGCTGTTTTTATTGTTTGTATTTGCTGCAACTGTATATAAGCAAAACGCATTTGGATGTTATAATGATGCCATAGCGCCTTCCACTTTAGATTTGCACATGTACAAGGACATTAACATAAACCACAAATACCTGCACAAGATTAAATACCTGCGCGATGACAGCGTCGCAGAATTTGTCCAATTAACGCGCTTCGGCGTATAATAACCATTGTTTTTCGGCAAATTGTTTCACACAGTTAAGTTGCTGACAGCTGTTTCTGCTAATTGATGAATGATAAGACTCGATATACATGCAGCCCTGGCGCAATGCGCGCACAACATTTGTAATCGAGCTATCGGTATCGGATTTTGAAGAGTCTCCTATCGGCCAAGAAGGCAAAGCGTATTCAATATTTGGCTTTATTTTAATTTATTGCAATTATAAAGATTATTTGTTGTTTAATATGTGGTTCTAGTTTCAATGACAATTCTTTGTTATGTGTTGTTATATATGCAGTACATAATTGGTCAATAATCTGTGGTTTTTGGTATGAATAAATATAGCTTTGACTAATTTCCCAAACAAATGAAGCTCAATTTATTTTATCGGATTACCATTTACGGATTGCAATTTTACCTGTCACAAAAATTAAAAGGGTTGAGCAGGAAAACAAACAATTTGTAACAGAATTCAAAAGGGATGATGGAGTGGGGGCGGGTAGAGATGCCCGCACAGCAATTCAGTGGAATGTTGCTTGGTAATTTTTTCAAGCAATTTGGCGACCCGGCCGCAAGCTGATTACATCAATGCAAATGTAATGGGCAACGGTAGGAGCGGGTGAATCAAATTTGGCTTGGTTTCGGTCCGTCCGGTGCTCTGTCGCTAGGACTTGGAGCAGTCCTGGCCTTTACATTAAATGGGATCGGCATTTTTCTTTCGGTCCACAAAAGAAATCCTGAAGCTCTCGGCTATGTCTTCTTGCATTGTTCATCTGTGTTAACGTGCGTTGGCGTGTAAATGATAAATGAGCAACACCGTCGACTCCTCCGAACGTTCAACTGTCCCGGCACCTAAGGCAACTCCATCCACGGGGCTATTAGTCGCTATTGTCCTTTTCCGCTGTTTTGTTTCCATGCTCATTCAGCTTTGCCAAATAAAAAGCTAGAAGGTGCAATGAGTTGGCCTTTTTTTGTTGCTAATGGCCAACTGTCTACTTATGTTTTGAAATTTTTTCGCTCATATGAGAGATTTTATTGGTATTAGAAACTTCAAACAATTTTTGTCTTATATTAGAAGTGAACGGAATATAATATATATACACATATATGTGTAAATTTGTATCTTAGCTTAATTATTTTATTTAAAGCATATTTATGGCTTCAGTCAAGTAGTTTCACTTTCTTTCATATAAATCGACAATACAGCAAAATCTGCAGATTTGCGTATTGTAAGTAACATCAAACTAAAAAGTTGTTTTCCATATTTCACTTATTGGTAACTTATATAACTTAACAGTAATATTATTGTGGAACTTTATTTCTGAGCAAGCTTTGTCCTTCGCTTCTGAGCGCTTGGTTCAAAATAATGCGTTTATTCTCTAGCTGTGTGCACAGGTCAAAGTGTTTCAAAAACATCTCTTTAGACCTTTGCGTTGTACTATCGCTATTTCCGCTAATTTTTTCGAGACGAGCTTTCTCCAGCGTCGCTTTCAATTGCAGACGACTGGCATTAACCACATCGCTTTTTGTGGCAACAGCCTCCGGTTTTGGTGAAGCAATTGCTGCACCTGTTTTTTTCGTTGTTGTTGGTCGCTTGCTAGAAGCAGCATGCGAGAGTGCTTTCTTTTTGGAAACTGACGCTGTCGATTTTATTGGTTTATCTACAGTTTCTATGTCGACGGTAAAGTACTTGCACAGTAATTGACTAACTGTGGGACGCTCTATCACGATATGCGGCTTAACTGGCACAGAGTTAGCACTACTACAAATAGAAGGAACGAGGGCTCTGCTTACCACTGCACTAACCAGGTTTTTATTGGGATGCAGCTTCTGCTCCGTAAAGGGCAAGCAAAAGCGATCAATATCCTCTTCTACCTTCATTATCAAGTACTGACATTCTGCATTGATCTCGTGCAGAGTTTCTTCGATTTCGAGTAGATATTGAGTTTTAGTGGTCGGATCCTAAGCATGCAAAATATAAGCAAAATTAAAACTATTACAACAACCGCAACTGGGCAACTTACGGCGCTCTCGTGTTCGGCAAATACATCCGTGATTGTCTGCAAGAATGGGCGAAATAATCAATTAAAATTTTATAGTATAATTCATGTTTAATATTTACCCGATGCACCGTAAGATAATTCTTTAGAGCGGACTGACAATAGATAATGTCCTCGCGCAGCTTGTATGGTATTATGTAGAATTGTTTCAGATAATACTGAAAGAAGCGGTGCGCACTGTGCATGGATTCTGCCTCCTTCATCTTATTGAGAAATGCGGTAATAATGTCATGGCGCTCCTTTTCGGAGAAATCATTAAAATTTATGGACTCCATACTACACAAATCAGATCGACGTGTGTTTTGATTGTTGTGATGCCTGCTTGCCGCTTATTTTTGTTGCCATCATATCGATATATCGATCACTCAACGATATTATCGATGTCGATTCTTCAGCGATACTCAATATGATACGAAATTGCTTAACACTAAAATAGCCAGCACTGTAATTGATGATCAACTCCGATTAATTCATTAGACTTTAAATGTAATTGGACTACAAATTGCACTTCCAAATGAAAATGCAATTTCGACGAGTTATACAAATTGAGTGTTACCCATTAAATATTTTTCACAAGGTACACTCCCATTTTGTTCATAAGAAAAACTTTTAAAATGTCAACTTTTTAGAGACATTTAAATTATTTACAAGATTTTCTCTTGCGTATTCGTATTAATTATAAAAGGCATGTAACCAGCAGCTTTATTTTATTATTCATTAACACGCTTTAAGAAAAACTCAAAACTGGTACCAACATGAAAATTAATTAAACCGAAAGTAAGAGAGAGCTCAAGAATAATGTAATGATGGCAGATACCATTTCTAATAATTTTCATGTGTTTCTTTGTTGGATGCTTTACTTTTTTTTTGTTAGATATTTTGCTTGGCCCTTTTACGCTTATCAACTATGCATCGTTTTTGCAGATATACCTAATGCCTGCTTTGCGATATCCTTCGCAACTTAAAGGCTTTTCAGTACAAAACTTTACCAAAAGCAGAGACCGCAAAAGGGTCGCACCAGTTTCCCCTTACCACTTCCTTTTGACTAGACGCAGCCTAATCTCTGAGCAGCTTTGGCGTCGCCACACCGACAAAACAACAAACTCACTGAAAAGCTTCAGGCAGACAGGAAACAACACAGCAAAACAAAAACAAGCTAAAACTTAAGCTATGCTCTACCTAGTCAAAATGGCGAACAATTAGGTAGAATTTAAGTTTGGACTGCCAGTTCAAATCACTCAAGTATGCATTGATGATGTACATGAATACAAGTGTAGCAGTTAAAGCAGAAAGCACATAAATTGTTTACGCTGTTGAATGAGCAGCTTTCAAATAAAGAGCTGTGGGGTGTAACCTTCCTATAGACAGTTCCAGATACATTTCGTGTGCATGTTAATCCTAAATTGAAATTGCATTTACAATTTATTTAGCAACCTTTCAGATGCATTTATTGAAAATATGTTAGTTGTATACATTTTTATAGAATTTTGTTTGGTTTTTTCTTTGTAAAATTTGAAACAGTTAACAATAGGATAGCTAAAATACATTTATAATGCGCTTATGAATAAATATTTTATTTTGTATAGCTTATACATTTGTAACCGCTTTCTTTTTTTTGTAAATATGAAGAAGGAACAAAATCTTTTAAGAAAATGTACCTGATACAAAAACTCAACGTCATTTAAGTTGTTTTCCCTTACTAGAGCGCATTAGTTGTCATTATTCTTAATCGGACCGGTAAAAAGTGCAGCACATCTCATAGGTTTAGGTTTTTGGCGCTTATTACATGACTCACTTGAGTCGTCAGTCATATTAAATGCCATTATTTCCGATACCAACTTATCTATTTCAACATTATTTGAAGCGCGAACAATAGTAGGGGATTTCAAAAACTTGCTACAAATTTCAAATTTTACAATGTCAAAGTCTTTGCCATGTAGCTGGTACATTTTAATGCAATCCTTAACCAAAGTGGCACGCAGTTTCAGATCTGCGACCGTTCTGGTTAGCGCAGCGACTGCAATGTAACAACGACTGTGCTCCAGGTGGTACCCGTCAGTTTGACAGCTACTGATGACGGCCATTAGCAGTTGAGACAGCGGCTCCTCTAAAGCAGCTGCCAGCTTGGGCATGTCATCCTTGGCGAATGCGGCACCGGCTAACGGAGTGAGCACAATCTCCTCGCGCTCAACGAGATGTGGCACTATTTGACAATACTTTGCCACCGCCAATAGACTGGCCTCCTTAAAGGTTAGCTCCAGACAACCATCTACCAGGACAGGCTGTTGCGGCTGCTTTGTATTTTTGGTATACATAGATATGATCAACGAGTGCCTTACAGACTGGTCATCCAGCAGAAATCTCCAAGTTCTGTTGTTCTTTCGCGCCTTGGCCTCTTTCAGTTGCTTGCTGTACTCGAAAATTATTTGCTCTGCGAAACGGCGACTCACCGTTGCCTTTGCATAGCTTGGCTCTTCGGTGAAGTCTGGACAGATCTTAGTGAAGGTTTCCACTAGCTTTTGAAAATCAAAGATGAACTTTCCACCGACAGACATTTTGAGAGTTCTGAAAGATGAATATGCATAGTTTCACAAGGATGTTAAAATCACAGATGCATACATACATATATAAATATTTATATGCTTTGCAATTCAGGCCTCACATACATATATATACAAATGTATGTACATCTTTCTGTATCTTAAATGCGCATTAATCTTTTGTTTATTTTTACTGACAGAGCTTTGTTTACATTTGTATAGAGTCCAACTTTTTTATAAAGATGGAAATCAAGACACCCAATCAGATTGAGAGACATACATAACGGTATTGCCTAGCTTGAATCTGCTGACATTTGCACGTTTGTATTGAAAAGCAAATAAACAAATCGTTATCAAAACAATATTTATAAACCCATGACATTCTAGAGGAGAAACTAGTCCTCATTGTATATTTAATTGGCACTACTTATAGATGCACATACATACATAAAGAGTATTCATTGTGTATGTGCATAAGCCAAACTCTGATAAAACATACTGTATGTACATAAGTAAATATGTACATACATATACATATGTACATACATATATCTCATGCGATGTTGAATAAGTACAAACACTTGATAATTTACTGAACAACTATATTAATATGTAGGTATATAAGTTTATCACTTTGTATATTCAAACATAAACTGCAAACTGCAAACTGATATGTGCTAAGTAGTTCTTAGTTTTCTTAGTATTCGCTTACTATACTGAAAGTCACGAACTGAAGATTGTACGCTCGCCAAAAGCGAAAATCAATGTGAAGTCCCGTTTTGTTTGTCGGTCGAGTTGGATTTTTTTCTTTGTGTGGCAACTAGTGGGCGCAGCTTTTGTATCACTTTGCTGCGATATATGTATATTGCGCCGTTTGTAACATATTGCCTATCGGATGCCTCAATATATCGCCATGCCGTCTAGACTTGGGCTGCTGGTGGTGATCGATCGCGATATACTGATCGGCAGGTGTACAATATTTGTATTTCTTTCTGAAACAAAAATAATTATCTTGATCAGTCTAGTCCGATCGCATTACTGTGTTGTCTGTTATTATTATATTATGGATATTATACAGCCTGCATGGTCTTCCCTTTAAATTTCTCGTCAAATTTGATTTGAGATTTCTTCACCACACCCCATCAAGTTAAATTATTAATTAAATTCGTATTTGCTTCAATTATTTAATATATAATTTCCATACTTATTTACTTACAAACTTCCTTTGTACTAATCATTCGTTTTTAATTATTTAACAGCACTAATTTACATTCTCCATACGATAATTAGTCTGGCAACGCTGTGACCCAGATAAGTGCGATATGTTGCGCGCAGATTAATTAAAAATACAAAAAGATTTTATGTGCAAAGCGGTAAATAGCTATGTAAAAATCACATGCATATATTGTTTGTATTGTTATAGTTAATCGAGAATATTAAATTGGACGAATGACCTATTCGCAGCTGATAGGCCGATCAGCTGTTTCCACGGCTCGCATACAAGCTAGAGATTGTTTACATTCTAACGGCAGTTAATATTTTAAATTTCATTTATAATGCTTTTTATATTCTTGGTTGTTTCATTTTATTCAATAGTGGTTGATGCCGATACAAATGTTGGTTAAACAGTGCTTTTTTATGTTGTTTGTGTATTTATTTTTGGGTTTTAAGTTTCTATTTCTCATTTTTTTGTTACTTTAGTTTTACACATATTTTTATGCAATATTTTTTTCCTTTATTTTCGCAGGTCTTTTAATTTTTATTTGTGCACTGCCTGAATCGAAATCTCATTTTTCGCCTCTAAATTCCGACTGTCTTTCACTTCTCCACGACTAGTAAAACGTTGCCCCTTTTCTCTTCTTTTCCTAATTAACACACATACAAATTAAATTCCTTCTTTCAGATCATTTCAGTCATTTTATGCTGATTGGCCCAACTTCTGCCCTGACCTCAACTAACAAGTTTGGACTCTTCCCTCCGAAAGGTGGTGTACTGATCGACCTATCGATGTATTCGGCGGCCATTACAGCATACATATGTATATGGAAAGTTATAGAGTACGATTTCTGCACCTGTTCGTCCTCGTGTGTGTAAATATCAGAATTGCTGCAGATGTTATTGAGCGAATGCTTGTTAGCAACCCTTATCTCCTGCTTTTTAGCTTAAAACTCTTGAGTTTAGAGACTTTAATTCGCTTCACTCACATGAGATTGAGAGCTAAGAAATAGAGTTCTTATTGAGAGTTGTGATTAAGATGGAAAGTTGAGATTACGAGCTTGCAGCTTAAATTGGTTGAACTGCACAAATTTGTTTTGTGTGCCAACTTCTGACGCCAAATGCCTCTGCATTTTACATATGTAAATATAAATAATAATAATATTTAAAAGATTTTGCTTGTATTGGCTCGACTGACAATAGAACATAAAGTGGATCCTTGTCAACACACTACTCATTTGCATACGAGTGGGTTGATTTTTTTTTATTGACTCACTGGTCTTTGGGTTGTAATCAATTTATATTCGAAATAGTGGTATTGATATATCGCAATGCCAAAAAAATGAACAAGAGAATAGAAAAGTAAAATAGCAACGACAACAAAAGGCATAACACAATGAGAAAAGCGTGCAAAGGGTGTTGCGCCAACTGACAAGTGACACTTTTTCAAATTGAATTTTTCATTGGGCCCCAAAGCGAAACGGGAGGTGGCGGAAATTCAACAACCGGTCACCAGTCAAGTACTGGCGATGGGGCTATGATTGTCATTTATTCGTACACACACACACAATTATATATGTATTGAAAGTGTCTGGGCTTTAGTTGTCAGGTTACACACATGACTTTGGAATATAATAATATATTCAGTATTAAAATAAAAAAAATAACTACAAAATCAACATCGATCTGTGTATTTAAAATAGTTGAAAGACTACCAATGGAACCAGATTATAATACAATATTGCTGCCTATTATATCGGCCGTTATGCTCTCAAATAATCGTCCCTTAAGCTTGGACGAGATTTCAGATGGAGTTATTTCGGTGCTCAGCTCGCAGCAGGAGAAACAAATATCTACCGGTTCTACAAGTCGGGAGTGCACTTCCGATGACAATTGTGCTCAGATCAAGCCTGTGCAGAGGAAGAAGAAATAAGCATGTCGTGACCATAACTATAAATATACAAATTTGACAATATCCAAAATGACAAAAATTCACAGTTCGAATAATAAATTTATTACAATTCGTCATATTTGTTGAATGATAGTTGATGGAGCTTAAGAGTTATTCTTGTTTATTTGCAGGTGTCTGAGGTTATTTAAATCAATAACGTCAACTTCAATGTCAATTGGCGTTGGTAAACTTGCTGAAAGTAGCAGCAGGTGCAACAAACAGTTTGTCCGACGAGTCTCTCATAGCTCTTGTCATGTTTGGCCTCGAGACGCAGTGCCAGTGATTGTGACCTCCGCCGCAACCAAGGCAATGTGACACTGACTGTGCTGCAAGTGGAAGCCATCCGATTGGCAGTTAGTGATGACCACCTTGACCACCTCACTGCTGTCCACTACACGTCTAGTTCGCGCCGTCAAAACCGATGCAATTTTGAGTATGCTCTGTGGCAAAAACACAGCTCGCCCCAAAGGTGTCGACATTATTTTATCTCATGGCCCATTATGCGTTGGTAGCGGGAAGCATGGTAGAGGTTTAAGTAAGTCTTCTAGTCCCGCAAATGCGGATTAAGTTTCATCGGGCTCTTTAAGGATGAATACGCTGTTGTCCCCGCTAAAAATGAATTTCCACATCTGAGGTCTGCCGTTCTGTTTGATGTGCCGCATCTTGGGGCCAAAGTCAAAGAGCATCTAGTTGGCAGAGTGCCAGCTTTGAGTTTTATCAGCCCCATTCGTTTGCCGGAAGTCGGCACAGATCTCACTAAAAGTGTCACATGAATTATTCAAGTCAAGCTTGCTGATAATTATTTAATTACGCTGTGAAATTTAAAACCAAAAAAAAAGGGACTGAAGTATGTAGATATTTACATAAATCTAGGCAATTTACGTGTTTGCTTATATTTGTGAATAAAAAAAAATACTTTTGCGATGATGATGTTATATATCCTTGCTGCATTATTTTTATATGTGCAACATATGTGCTTCTCTATCAAATATCTGTAAGCAATCTTGCAGACAGTACTAAAAATATATCGATGACAGTATAAGAATGCACAAGTAAAGGTATTCAGTTTACTGCGTTTATATTATTTTGGTATTATAGTTTTTATTTAATATGTAATTGTGAGTATATAATCGAATTCGGAAGTGAGCCTTTTAGTAACCAGATTGTGCATTTCCGAGCACACATTTTACTGTGTTGCCATTTAGTAATTGAGTTTGTATGTGTGTCAGAATACAACGACCGATTAAGTAATTTATTTACTGTGAAAGTACTGTGTTCATAACTGTGTGTATGCGTGGTGCCCCTATTCAATATAATTAAGGTATTCACTACAGATATATATAAATATATATATATATATATATATATACAGAGAGATATATATATATATATATCTAGAGAGAGAGAAGCAGAGAAATAAAGAGAGAGAAAGCTGGAGAGAGACAGAAAAGGAGTAAGTTGTTATCTTATGGATTCCGAAGTTTTAATACTTTTGCTGATATTCATAGCTTGGTTTGAGCCACACAACGGCTATATATATGATCGGATCCGATCTGTAAATCAAGACAGCTTCAAAAGTTTGTATAAAGACATGTAGGGGATCCACATAAATAAATTGTATGACCAATTTCAGACATGAGTGTTGTTCAAACAAGGGGTGTCTTTTAAATGCGGCTGTAGGGGGCAGCCAGAATTTTAAATAAAACTCGTCTGTATATGATATGGCGGACATACATAAATCCAAATAAGGTGGGGTGTTCATACTGACATACGATTAAGGGTACGGTATATAAATATAACTTATGATCTGAATATACGAGTCAAATTCGAACTAAAGAATACACATATTCGTAAGTTTTCGTATCAATTTCAGTAATTTTTCTATTTCTATATGGAATTAAGATTAAACTTAAAAATAACAATTGTGGCCTTCAATGAAAACTCGAGGTTAATTAATTTTTTATTTCGTTTTTATATCTAATACTTCTCTTATATATTTAAAGGAGAAGTCCCTGACTACAGTATCTAGATTCTTGATCAGCATCACTAGCCGAATTAGTAATAGTTTTGAAGCTATCTTGATGAAACTTGGCATCTACTCTTTCTTTTTGCAGCAGCAAACTTTTTTGTTTAACAAGTTATCTTGACCAAGCTTACGAAATATGTATGTATAGAAACAATAAGTATTCTATGTTTTATTGTTTATTTTTTAACAATACACTTTGCAATACCCACCAACCTTTGTGGAAGCATCACCTCAATAACATCGTTACTCACATTTGCGCACAAACTGAATTAGGCAAATTGTCACAAACCAGAGTCGTACGTCTATAGAACAATCGTGCCCCTATTCTACAGTGCCGAACAACGTAGAGATTTTTAAATTGAGAGCAGCCCAGAGAGAATATTTTGCTCCACTCTCCACATTAATTTTTTTTTTTTAGTACTTGACATAATTATTTCATATTTAGTTTAAATGTGGATTGACATTTTTTGTAGTTTCAAAGATTTTTGCACTTAATTTGTATGCATTTGTGTCGGCAAATTAAAAATGTATTTCCTTATTTAAAAAATTTGTATAATCGTTATCCAAAAAATCAATTTAAAAGACAATTGTAATGTTAAGAATGTTTCGAAAATGAAATCTTGGTTATTATATATAATAAACTGATTCATAATAAGTTGAATTTAACTTTTCATACAACAGACGAAAAGAACGATCAAAATTCTATTTTTTTTGGTGTTATATATATACTATATGATCACTTTTAAAAAAATCTAAATAAAAATGCTGTCAGCAACCCTCTCAGGCCTACTTTATAAAAACATACATACATAGTATATACATATGTATGTATGTAAATTCCATGTGGAGTGCAAACAAGTGATCAACATGCAGGTCGGGTAGGGTGAATACAATGGGGATCGTACTAATAATGTCTATGTATGTGTACTGTATGTGTATGTGTGGCAGCAGCGTTTTCTAGGTAGTTACTCACTCGCGGTCAGAACCCTCTCAGTAAATCATTATTAAATTAAATTGTATGTAAAAATGATAGACAGGCTTCCTTTGCCGAAGCTTAGTTTAAATTACTCGCATATCTGCTTTAATGGGCATCAACTGGCGTTTTGTTCATGAATATCTGTAGTAGCATATGCTCCACAGCCGAGAGAGATTCAGTTGGATGTTAGCAAGTGGCCCGTTTGGGTGTCGTGGGTGCGTGAAATTTCCTTTCTTTCAACTGTAATGCATTGTGTAATAAATAAATATGTGTATACTCTATGCACAAGCTATAAATAACTTACAACAAAGATGATTAAAAGCAAAACACAAATTGAACAATATCCTTTATATCGTATTTATAAAATAATAAATATACTAGTGATGCAAATGTTTACGAATAAAAAGGAATCGATACATATGAATGAGTGAATTTTAAATGTATTCCTGTTGTGTGCTTACAGATCTATAATAGTAAACACAGGCTAATCATCAGAAACGAATCGAATTGAGTTAACATAATGTCCAGTAATTGTGGGAACGATGGCGACGGAGGAGGAGATCGACAAAAGCATGATCCCATTGAGATGGGTAAACTATTGTGCTCAAAAGACTTAACCACCACAGGACAATCAGCAGAGGACACTTCAGTCACATCAACAAGTCATCAGGTAATTTATAAAGTAATTTAAAAAAAAGTATATTTATAAATAAATCAATTGGAGAATAGGTCCTTGATTATATAACTATTACTTATTTTTAGTTAACAAAAATCCAGATTCCCGAGCGTGGTAGTTGGAGCTCAAAACTAGATTTCATATTGTCTGTAGTTGGTCTTGCAATTGGTTTAGGAAATGTTTGGAGATTTCCCTACTTGTGCTACAAAAATGGAGGTGGCGCATTTATCCTGCCATATATTATAACATTGTTTTTAGCTGGTATTCCCATGTTTTTTATGGAACTGGCGCTAGGTCAAATGTTAACTATCGGCGGTCTGGGAGTTTTCAAAATTGCTCCAATCTTTAAAGGTGAGCATGTTCTTGGGAAAATTTGACTCCGATTATATTATAAATGAGTCCATTCATTCATGTCTTCAGGAATTGGATATGCTGCTGCTGTTATGTCCTGTTGGATGAACGTTTATTATATTGTTATTCTGGCTTGGGCAGTGTTCTACTTTTTCATGTCGATGCGAGCCAGTAAGTCTATCTAAAGCCATTATCGAGAAACTAGTATATAGACAAATGTATATTACAGATGTTCCTTGGCGAACGTGTAACAATTGGTGGAACACCCTCAATTGTGTCAATCAGTATGAGCGGAAAAATCTGATTTGCTGGGATAAAATGATTAACGGAACTCAGAACAAGATTTGTTCCGTGGCTGCCGCGAATATTTCCTCATCACAGCTGACAGATCCAGTTAAAGAATTTTGGGAGTATGTGTAAAATTTGAACAAATTATACTAGTCATAATTTGAAACATGTAATTTTAACAGGCGACGAGCATTACAAATATCGTCTGGAATTGATGAAGTTGGCCATATTCGTTGGGAACTCGCTGGCACCTTGTTACTTGTTTGGATACTCTGCTATTTTTGCATTTGGAAGGGAGTCAAGTGGACGGGAAAGGTCGTTTATTTTACGGCACTCTTTCCGTATGTTCTACTGACAGTTTTATTAATTCGTGGCATTACTCTACCTGGCGCTCTGGATGGTATCAAGTATTATATTATTCCCAACTTTTCAAAACTTTCTAATTCCGAGGTAAATATATAATTTAGGTATATGTAAATCAATAAGATACAATCAAGTGAATTTGATAGGTTTGGATCGATGCGGTGACACAAATTTTCTTTTCGTACGGCTTGGGCCTCGGAACATTGGTTGCCCTGGGCAGTTACAATAAGTTCACCAATAATGTATACAAGTAAGTTCGACTTGCATATCATAGAGCTGATTTAATTTACCAATTATAATTTAGAGATGCACTAATTGTGTGTACAGTCAACTCAAGTACAAGTATGTTTGCTGGATTTGTGATATTTTCGGTTATTGGATTCATGGCTCACGAACAACAAAGGCCAATAGCCGAAGTGGCAGCATCAGGTTCGTGAATTGCTTTACATATGTGTATTCATTGATTGAGCATAATTTCAAATGTATTATTTTACACGTATTAATGCAAGACTCTGATTTTGTACAGGTCCAGGATTGGCGTTCTTGGTGTATCCATCAGCTGTGTTGCAGCTCCCAGGATCTCAAATATGGTCATGTCTGTTCTTCTTTATGCTGCTTCTTATAGGTTTGGATTCACAGTTCTGTACAATGGAGGGCTTTATTACGGCTGTCATAGATGAGTGGCCACAATTGTTGCGTAAACGCAAGGAGATTTTTATAGCAATTGTTTGCACGCTAAGCTATTTAGTTGGATTAACCTGCATAACGCAAGTAAGCCATATACATTTATATATTTCATATATATATATATATATATATATATATATATATATATATATTTGAATATAATAAAAAACATAAAATTCTTGCTTACTTAAATAAATAAATTGCATATTTTCAGGGTGGCATGTTTATTTTCCAAATACTCGATTCGTATGCGGTTAGTGGCTTCTGTTTACTTTGGCTGATATTCTTTGAGTGTGTTTCAATATCCTGGTGCTATGGAGTTGATCGATTTTATGATGGCATCAAAGACATGATTGGATACTACCCCACAGTGTGGTGGAAGTTTTGCTGGTGTGTCACAACACCCGCAATATGTTTGGTAAGTCTGCATTTGGTAAAATAATAGCATGTTAGTTTGCTTTTTCATCTATATTTTCTTGTATGTTCTTGTTTATCTTGCTCATAGGGAGTGTTCTTCTTTAATATTGTGCAATGGACACCAATTAAGTACCTGGACTACAGTTATCCATGGTGGGCACATGCGTTTGGTTGGTTCACGGCATTGTCCTCGATGCTTTATATTCCAGCATATATGTTCTGGTTGTGGAAACGAACGCCCGGAGACTTATGTGAAGTAAGCATTCACTTTATATTATTTAATATTTAAAATTTATATCTTTTAATTCATTTTGTTCAATGGTAATTGAACTGATTGTTTTATTTTTAAATGAAAATTTCGCTAAATCAATTTTAATTAAGCTATCGTTCTCATTTCCGTGTTCGTTAAATTATTATTATTAATAGTCTTAAGAGAAATGCAAAGCCATCAACTACGAAATCTGCACGTTATTAAAAATCCTCTCATTAAATTCACGTTTCAGAAAATACGTGCGATTGTTCGAATTGATGAGGACATTCCGCGGTTACGTGAGAAAATGCAACAGGAGGCCTATGCTAAGGAAGTTGAGTTTAATTCATAATAGGTTTAATCGAAAAATGTCTAAAGTACTCGCCAATTTGACAACATCAACGCAAATTGCACAATTTTTATATATTTTGATACAGTTGTCGTAGTAGAGTTGTTTGTAAGTAATATGTTCTGTTTTTGCTTTTAAAATCAACAGTAGTAATTTTTAAACACATTTATTTCTTTCTTTTATCATGATGTTGAAATATTTTTAATTAGTATAGGTTAGTATTCAGAGTGTAAACTATTGTAGAATATATTGTTTTCAAGCAAATAATTTAAAACCATCAGCTTAAAGACGAATGCAAAACAATTAATCAAAATTATTAATTTGATATAAGTAAGTACATATGACTAATGATTTGTATGCATAAGTTTTATCAAATATTAAGTGTTAATGTTGAGTAATATTCCGATTCCTATTCTGTTTTCTTATTGCTTAACATTTGCCTATACTTACATGCATACATACTCGTATTATAATAGATGTTATGTACCTTTTGTATACCTGTGCACGATTGTTCGTCAGTGGTTTACTAGAATTTATTGATAAATTTAATTTAAAATTATTCTTAAAATTTAGTGGTTACTTAGCAATAATATGCCCACCATACACATATATATATTATATATAATGTTATAATATACCACACATCAAAAATGCACAACTGCATACATTTATTAAAATGCATAACTCTACGATATCAAAGCATCATCAATGCACATACAAAGACTTCATAAAGAATGGTTTTTATGGCGTTAGAGTATGTACATACGTATACTTATGGATATATAAAGTATTTGCGGCATTTAGTTGCCATTACTTTTTTAAAATGTTTAGACGTAAAATGCTTGTGTCAATTAGTTTAATATCTTATTTTCAAACATGAAAAAAAACATATAATAAAATGTTACTATTTTAATTTGTATTATTTATGAATTGTTGAAAGGTTAGGGGATGTGAAGTAAGTGGTTGTTTTTGGTTTATTACGATATTTGTTCAGCCACTTTTCCAATTGACAAACATATTTAAACAACTATTAAACTCTATTTTGCTGCACAAGGTATTAAAAAAATAATGGGGACAGAGAAAATATTGGTGTGCTGGACTGCAATAACAATTTGTTCATGGCAAAGTTCGCTTTATTTTATTGGCACCCTAAATTTAAAACTTGTCTTCAGAGTATCGTGATTTTATGGTTGTTAGCTCTTTATTCAGAGTTTAAGTTGAGCTCCGATAGTGTTTGTGCACCATTATTTTTGAGTGTTCAACGAAAGAGGGGCTTAGAGGCGATAAGGATAAACGTAAAATGTTCACGCATATCTGTGTTTGTTCTCTTCGGTAACATTAACGAAACTAATAAGGAAGTGAACACAAAGGTCTGGCTATCACTGGAACAAGTTCCGCTGAAAAGATAAACTCACCAGGTTAGAGCGAGTGTGTGGTTGGTGGACAAAGCACACAGTTCGATATAATGGCATGGATGAGTTGACAACAAAGCAAGTTGGCTGCAACACTGGCAACACAATGAAAACTGGCAACAGTAAATATAAGTCGACAGGCAGGACACTAGCTAACGAAGGCTTATGGCCTCTGTTGCGTCACTTCAAAGCTCTGACACTAACAAATCAGTGTTTTAGCCAGTGTACGAGGCACAAGTGCTTGTTCCAATTGTGTGAATGAGTTGCTCTGTGCATTATTGGCAATTTGCCGAACACAACCAGGAGTCCAATATGTGTAAAACATATCTTGATTAATATCTGTCGTATTACCAAAATTATGCCACGACCTCTAATGGTGAACATTCTCAGATATGGCTAGACTGTCTCAGATATTAATGTTATATTTATATACTTTAACAAAATCATGGTCTGCTTTCATATACAGAAACTCTATATCAATAAGAAACACAGAAAAGTGACACTGATACCCGAAATAAAAAAAAATGAAAAAGCCGATAAAGGTTATGCACAGAAAATATACATTCAAAGAACCATTGCAAAACAAGTCTCATCCAGCTGGTAAACAATAAATAATCGAACTTTGGAGGTGTAGAGAGGAGTGCACAGCCAAGCTGTGCAATTGTTGTTCTGCTTTTTGCTAACAACCCACAAGTTGATGTACATATACGTTTGATATTGGACCACTTCGTGGCTAAATGAGTCCCAGGGGCGTATTTGAGGTGCTCACATAACCTTAAACAAAGTGCTACGTTACCGTTACACATTTCTTGTTGCTAGTTCTTTTTTGGCTGTTGTACCTGAGATGCCGGCCTGTTGGACTGTTATTTGCCAAAATTTAATTGATTTCTACTTGGCTGCTTTTGTGTTTCCATGACTTACCCGAAGTTTGTCATATAATTAGGATGAACACAAATGCGAGAGTGAAACTGAAGCACTCAGCACAACAATTCACCTTGTCCCGTGTGATTCTTCGGTCGTTGAGGCTGTCCCTAGTGCTTTGTAGTTTATTTGTTGCAGACGTTGCTCATATTAATTACATTGCTTCCTAGTCGTTTCTAATTAAGATGTACTTTATCGCAATTATTCGAGGTCGGCTAAATTCTAATCGGCATCGAAGGTTTCATCTATATAAATGGGCTAAATGTATTTGTGATGCTATAATGAAAATAGCATTATTAATAGTATTATAGTATTATTAATAGTATAATGGAATAAATACAGAAACAAAATGTGATGGGTAACAATGTTTAAGTTAAAGTATGTAAAAAATGATACAAAATGCGACACTGCATTGCCATTTATTTTTGTCCATCAACTTTGGTTAAAGCGTCATTTATTTTGAGTAAAAAGAAAAACTGTAACAGTGTTTTCATTTTTATCATCATATTTCCAGCTGCGCTGCTGAAGTCGTAAATTATGTTTATGAGTACTGGCGACTACCCGATGCTTGCCAAAATGCTAATTAACTATAAAAATCGATAAGACTGACTGCAACTGTGCTCACAAAGCTCTTGATGAGCTAGTTGAAATGGTCTGCTGCTTATATTGCATTTTATATCAGGCTTCCAAAGAGAATGAAAAATTCCATTTTGGCAACATTTAGCCATTATGTGGATGGGACGGACATTGATGAGACTTAGTCTGCTCAAGTTTGCTTTCTTATTTTATGTACTGATTTTTTTCTTCTTACAATTCCCAAAACGAAAACTAAGTTGCAACATATTATTATAGATATTTTGTGCCCTCTGGACTATTATTATAGCCTCCCAACTCCGATTTGGTTTCGACACACTGGCATTACTGAAAGGACATGGATTTTCGTTATTTTCTTTAATTTTATTTATTTTCCTTGCAAAGCCATTATTTACTGAAGGGAATTGACATACGCGTAAGCACATACGACCCAATGCGAATACCAACACGAAAGCCATTTATCTACCTACAAATGTGCAACAGTAGTAGATACATACGCACAAATACCACATACATATATCGTCTGTGTACGTGTGAATCTTAAAGATACTCGTTTATCTCTCTTGGCATTGTTGCCCGTCTGTACTTCTTGGCGAATCCTTTTCACGAAAAGTGCTTATTGAGTCGAGTGGACACTGCTGGAAAGTGACAGACTCCGAGTATTGAGTAAACCGATTTGCTAAGAAAACAATGGTTAGTAAAGGTACTGAAAGAAATGCGTAAGACTGACAAAAACTGTTTAAATTAGGATTCGAACTGAGCTGTGGAGACATATCTGTCATTCGATTGTATGCAGTTACATGTTTCTTCTGGGATCTGATTGAGCCACGTGTCAGTCTGAGACCATAAATTTGTGTGTAGCCACCAGGCCAACATAGAACGTACCAAAACTGCCAGATTGTGCCCCCAGACGAAAATCAATTGAACTGTAATTGAATTGCAAACACTTGAGAGTCAAAAACCGCCGAGAGAACGCATGAATATTTTACGTGAACGTTTTGGCACCGAAAACAACGAACAAACTCAAGTTCTGTTCGAAGTGTTGTTTTTTTTTTCCGAGCACAAAATACCCTTGCAAAAATATTGTTGCTGTCACTGTTTGTTTTTAGCCTAATATATCCTGTGTATCGACTTTGGAGATAACATGCTATCGTGGAAGTAAGAAAATAATGATTAACAAAAAAAGTCTACTTTCTCTTATGTAATTTGTAATAAAATAAAAACTGCCAACAATTTGATTACCGTTTGCGTATTGAGAAATTGAGTGAAATGGCAGTGTTATTTTCTAGGGTATAGCCAGCGAGAGAAAAATTCAAGAGAGCGAGAAATGCTGTTACCCAAATTATCCACAAAATATGCAAAAACGGAAAATAAATTTCGTCGAGGGAGCAGTTGGAGTCTGCCAAATATTCATTTTACTTTAGGCAAGCCGAGCAGAATATTATGTACATTGAAGCGTGTGAAAAACGATGTCAGCACGTACGCATATCCATCATGTGAAAAGCGAAAGAAAAGTCCTCAGAAATTGGCAAAATCGAAATGAATTTTTTTTTAGGTGCCACTCCAAGGAACTCGAGTCGAATGCAAGTAACTGCCTCAACTAAGAATAAAACAAACCGGAAGTGTAGGCAATGGCAACAACCAAAAAGCGAATGAAGACCGAAAACATTGAAGTGGTCATGCATGAACAGTAAATGACGGTCTGCCAATGTGTGTGTGTGTGTTTGTTTGTTAGTTTCCGCCGGATGTGTCGCGAATGCACCAACGCTTGCGTGCTGCGAAAGAAAAGTAAATTAAGTAGATCTTATACGAATAAATGTTTGTCTTAAGACTCCAATTTCTTACAGTGAAATACGTGCTTGCTAATAACATGTTAAAGATTAGAGAATTCCAAGAAATCCCGAAGAGGTAATATTAGATGTTGCTAATAAGTTCTGGTTAGATTTTACAGCTAACAATGGATACATTAATGGTATGTACTATATAAATGAGTGTTTAAATTGACATATGCCAGAAAGCAACGTCTTTCGCAAAAGCAAATAAACTGCTTGACTGAGCACAGCCAAGTACAGATTGGGTCACTCATACGCAAATTGCGCATACGACATGTTGCCAATATTTATGTTTTCCAATGCTTGCTCACTCAAATAGCTTCAATTTTACATTGACTGACTTTTTCTTTGTTTTGAGTGCCAGCAGCAATTTTGAACACCCTCTACCTATACAATTTTGCAAAAGGGTATAATTAAGTGAACTTGTTTCAATGTTCTTTTGACAATCAAAAGGTGTACATATATTATTTGATTGTTCTATCAATATATCTGTTATCTGTTGAATGTGCGACATTGTCAGGGAATGTGAAATCATACTGATATACAAATGAATTAATTTTTTCTCTCCTTGTCTCATGGTGCTCCGGCAGATGATTCAGACACGGAAAATTCATTTCGTCACTCGCGTCTTTTGCTGTGTTCTCTGGAATAAATATACATATATGGAAATATATATATATATATAATATATATAATATATATATTTATATATATATATATGTCCATGTGTAATTCATCTTAAATATATTTTCTTTTTACATATTTGCTATGACCTGTCAGTCAGGAAGTTTGTTCCGTACGCGGATGTGGATATTTGAACTGGGGCCTCCTGTTCCCAACAGTGCAAATGTTATTTCGCTTAACGTGAATATGCCATTATAGAATACATAAATACGTATGTAGATACACAAGTCGTACATAGTTACATGTGCGCTGTCTTCATGAGGAGTCCATAAAGTCTGTAACTGCTGATGCCGTATTTCTCGTGTTACAACTCTTACCTTATTTTCCACAAACGCCATGGGCTTGATTGTCATATTGCAAGAGATAACGACTCGGCAGATGGACAATAGACAGCTACATGCATATCCTTTTCCTTACATGTCGATGCGCAGAGCTGTCGATGGTGCGTACCTGGTACCAAGTGTCTCCAT